GGTGTTCATCCTCGTCGGTTCATGGTACCATCTCGTGCAATGGTACGCCAGCATGGGCATGTACATCCCAGACTCATCGGGTTACGAGGTCTGGCTATACTTTGCCCTTTCCGTCTGGTTCTTTGATCGCGCCGCGCGCATTTCCCGCATGGTCAAGGCAGGCTTGAGACGAGCCAAAGTGACGGAACTGGGCGATGGTTACGTCCGTGTCGACGTGGATGGTCTCCGCTACGGCTCCACGCCAGGAAAGCACTCTTACGTTTACTTCCCTACGCTTGCTCCATGGCGGCCATGGGAAAACCATCCGTTTTCCATCATTCCTACGCACCTGCTGCAGTCGGAGGGCGCGAGCGACAGAGGCTGCCTTGTGGAGTCTGAAGATGCTGAAAAGCAAAATCAAGTCTCGGTCAGTACTGGTAGAGTCTTCCCTAATGGTGCCTCGGGAGCTGGAATCACTCTGCTCATAAAGAAGGAAGCGGGAGTCACCAAGTTTCTGAAATCTGATGATAACCTGCTCGTGCTGCTGGATGGTCCCTACTCAAATAACCATACGAGCGCGGTACTACGGTGTGATCGTCTGCTGTTGATCGGCGGCGGTATTGGCATCACAGGCTTGTTACCTTGGTCATTCAATCACTACAATGTCAAGTTGGCCTGGAGTGTCAAGGAATCTGCCAAGTTTCTCGTCGATGTGGTGGCGCTGGAGCACATTGGCGATAGGGATATTAGGGTGGGCAGTAGACTACCCATAGCTGAGCTGATCGCCGAGGAGGCGGCGATGGGATGGGCTAGGATTGGAGTTGTTGTCTCTGGACCTGGATCATTATGTGATGACGTCCGGGCTGCCGTTGCTGCGGCCGGGAAGAAAACGAAGGTTGTGTTTGACCTCGAGGTCGACGCATATTCGTGGTGAGTGATCTGCTGACTTCTCGCTCACGTCAAGCAACACTTCTGTATTGTAATGAAAATATCCTACTTCGCTTATCTGGCAGTGTAAACTTACAGAGCAAGTCAATACAGCTGTGTCAATCTGAATCTGAACATTTACGGAGTAGGTTCACGGAGCCACGGAGTCACGGAGAAGGAGTTAGTATTCTGCTCATCAGCATTTACCAATCTGCGGATTGCTGATTAATTTACCGCCGTGATATTGATAATTATACTGGTCCGTCTGCAGCGAGATCTATGCATGCTCCTTCAACTCGACACTTTCCTCAATCTTGGAATTCGCCTGGATTTTGCCCAGGGCCGCCGCAGACTCCTTTCCATCAAAAAGTACGGCTATTTCCTCCAGAGTCGGACCTCTGGTCTCCACGAAAAAGAAATAGATCACTAGGCATTCTATCACAAGTCTGTAGACAGGATTGTTAGCAATTTGTAATGACGGGATTTTTGACGAAACACTTACACTGCAATATACACAAAGTAAAACTTCCACTGCAACGCCTGCAAACCTAGAGGATTCACCCATTGGTTGAAGACTCCACTGAGAGAGGTGAAGACGAAGCAAAGCGTGAGCCCCTTGGCACGGATATGATATGGCAGGATCTCGACAGTGTATGATACCGTGAGGCCAGGCCATGCGACTCCTGCAGCGCCGTAGAAGATGAATATCATGGCAACAACTGCAACACCGGCGGATTGGGACGAAGATTTGGCGTAGACGGCGCTGCAAGCCGTCCAAATGGAGAATGCGATGAGCATTCCAATTCCGGCAGTAAGGAACAAAACGCGACGGCCGATGCGATCAACGAATAAGGCGGAGATGAGACACACCAACAAGCACCAAATTGTAAGGCCTCCATTAATGTAAGCTTGAGTAATTGAGCTACGAAGAAGGGTGTTAGCATCAAACTCGAAACAGTTTCATCGTAGGTATATACTAACTCTTTGATACCAATCGTGTTGAGAACTTGAGCCAGCTAAGAGGAAGGCGAACTTGTCAGATGAAACTTTGATGATAAGGAAGCTCTTGGGTTTGCACATACGTAGTAAGACACAAGGCCATTTCCACTGCACTGGGAAAAGATGGCCGTGGCGATAATGAGAGCACATCGCTTGCGGTTGCCAGGCGTCCGCCAGAGATCAGACCATCCACTGCCTGAAGCTGCCTCACGCTCCAGTCGCAGTGTGGTCACAATCTCAGAGAATTCCCACTGGACGAACTCATCGTGTGCGTTGTTATTTCCGTGGTACTTGACAAGCATCTTCAATGCCTCGTCCTCTTTACCTTTGCTTACTAGCCAGCGCGGGCTCTCAGGAAGTAGCCAGACCCCAAACAACTGGATGCCGGGCATCAAGCATTGAAGGCCAGTAGGTATCGTCCATTGTTGCTTTCCAGTCTGCCCGTAGAGCGTGCCGAAGCATGTCCAGGCAGCCAAAATTGCCCCGAGATACCAGATGGTATTGTAGAGGGTCGTGATTCGCCCTCGGTGACGGGGGTGAGCGATTTCCGTGATGAGGAGAGGGCAGGTTCCGTTTGAGATGTTGGATCCGAAGCCCATCAAGAAGCGACCAATGAGATACATGGCATCACGACGAGATGCACTGGAAGCTGGCGTGAAGGTTTGCAAGAGCGAGCCGAGGACGACGAAGAAACAGCCGATGGCAGTACCTCTCTTGCGCCCAATCCCATCCGCAATGTATGGGGTGAATAGAAGAACGAAGAGACCACCAAACCCGGGCACTGCTCCGAAAATACCGAGGCGGCTTCCGGTAGGGCTGTCAAAATCTAGAAGAATGTTGAGTACTCCAGATCTCTATATTGGCAATGCTCTCGGGATGTGGCACCTACATTCATTCCAGGATTTCATCGTCTGGAGTCCGTTGAGAAGACTCCCATCGTATCCTAGGGTGGTTGAACCCAAGAACAGAATGAGAGTCAGCGCATAGAGCTTTCTCAGTTCAGGCTGCTTCCAGAATGGCACATCAGAACCTCGCGGTCCAGAATGCTCGTTTTCATCCGGCAGTGTTGTCGGGGCGACTTTATTGTCAGTTTTCTCACCCATTGTAGTTTGAATGATGGGATACTTGGCTGAGCATTCAGTGCTGTTTGGGTAACATGTTGAAACGACTTGTGGTTGACTTTATAGTGAGCAACAAGACGTCAAACAAAGTCAAGTGATTTATTTCATGCAAGAATAACTTAGAGACATCAACCCTCGTTTCCTAGTGCCATCAGCCCCATGGGGTTTCTGCCACACGAGTCCCAAGTCAACTCATGCGCGCCAATGAAGATGCAAGAGACTAGTCTCAATTGAAGATGGTCCCCAGATGGTTTCTCGTTTCCTGAATCATGCCCTGGTCCGCTTTTCCATGTTGGGGAATTTCAACTCATCCGAGTCCCATCATTAGACGATGATGAGTTGTGGGCCAGCAATGTTTATCCGGGTTTATGCGAAAGGCACTAACCGGATGCCATTTTCCTGTCTATTTATCCTCGGATGTTTTCCCTTGGAACCAACTCTCCAATCTCACACTTGAAACAGACACTGGCAATCGGTTAGCCAGTACTCTCTGAGCATGTCTGTGTCGCCATCCACGCCTGCCCATGGGGTAGATGATGCTGTCTCAAGTGGAGCATCAACTACGCGTTCAAGACCATCTGACAAGACCAGGGGAATTCGGAATCAGAATGCGTGCGATGCTTGCCGCGACAGAAAGGTCAAGGTATGTGATACTTCCCAGTCTCGTTGGAACGCAATCGTGTCGAGAACAGAATAGTTGCAGCCTGCTGAAACTGAGAAAATTCTATTCACATTCAACCCTATAGATGGGGATTATAATGATTATGCTAACATCTTCATGAGTGCTTTTCGGTACTAGGAGAAGCGAAATGTGTTGCTTGCCTCGCCCTCGGGACAGACTGCGTCCATAAAAGACCTCGTAAAAAACGAGGCCCACAGCGGAGGCAAGTCCAAGATTGAAAATTCTATTCTCAGGAGATTCCCCGGAATACTTTGCTCATCAGGTGATAGACTGAGGGAACCCGACAACCCGGTTCCGAGGAGTGAACCGGAAGCCAGTGGAGACAATGCAACAAGGTCGCCACTACAACCCATGGGCACATCATATTATCGCCGGAGCAGTACTGTCTCTACGGGTCTCTATCCATGTTCAACGCATCTAGGCTCACCCGAGGTATCAAGGCCACAAAACACGCAACGGCATCAGTTGCTGTCAGACTTTGCATCGGCTGACACCATATATGGGCTTCTGAACGAGTGGTTCGACAAGGTCCACCCAATTGCACCCATTCTTCTCCGCAGGCGGTTCTTCCGCCGATTGAAAAATGGAGAGGCAGAATCTGATCCAGTTTTCTGTGCGTTGGTGGTTAGCGTTTGTTGTGCCACATTGGCCACACTACCCCTGGACAACCAGACTTCATTGTCGGTACCGTCTTGCTTGGAGTTTATTGAAAAAAATAAGCTACTTGGCTTTAATCTCGGCGAAGTAAGCTATAAACCGGAGTGGTGCATTGCCATGTACAATATTGGGGTGGCTATCAGCGCTACCAGCTCGCAAGGGTTGTCTGACGTCCATGGCTTCCACGCAATTTCTCAGTCATCTGCCGCAACCACGTATCTCCTGTATTATTCTCTTCGCAGTCTGAGCCACATCGACCAACAGCTTCTAAAACGATTGTTTTGGCTACTGTTTGCAGCAGCTAAGTGAGTTGGACAACTTAATACGGGAACTGTCTTGACTCTTGCTGTTCCTGATCTAGGGCTAATCATATAACGCATAGGAGTGGAGATATGTTTGGAAGACTCACTGTAGGGTTTGAAAGTATACACAACAATTGTGATCTTCTTCGGCCAGCCTCCCTGTCGGATAACGAGCTGGACCCTGCCGAGACAGCAGACAACCCCACACCATGGCACGGCGATAATACATCCTATGTGCCGGGGTTAAATTCGCTTAGCGAGTTGTTCCTAGTGTGGCACCAAGCTCGTTTAAGCCCGCCTGGATTGGATCGGGTTGTTGGGCTGCGTAATTCAATGGACAGCATACAAAGAATCATCGACAACCTCCCACCAGAGCTGAGGTGGCGAGGTGGCCTCTCGCGGCACGGAACCGTCAGCGAGGGTCACAATGCTCAAATCGCTAACATCTTCATCACCAGCTTTCACCTGCGTTCGAATCTGGTCCAAAAGTACGGGACTAGAGACGAGATAGTTGCCGAGCACCAACGCATAGTGGATGACTTGCTAGAAATTCTCTACCACCTACCCCAGTGTGTTTTCAACGCCAACGGAAGTAGCATCGTGCCCAAGGTCCGTGATATTGGAGCCGTGTATTTGGAACATCACATGATCGCGGACAACCCCAATAGAGACCAGGCAAAAGAAAAGATGGAGATGATCCTTCGTAAGCTGAATGATCTAGACTGCTGGTCGGCCTTGACTCTGAGTGGTCGATGGGATAGTGGAGCTGCGCGCTCCCCGTCAGGGGTAATAACTCCGAGGATAAACTTGAAGCAATCCACATGAGGCTAATAGTCCGCGTACAGGTCCATCTAGCTGCTAAGTAGCATGATATGACATCAGCTGCATCGGAAGTCCGGCGTAATGCTTGTACTAGAAGATATAATCATCCACCCCAAGAGGTGGCTTTGTAAAGCGAAATCGCTCGCCTGTATTTAACCGCTCTCTATTCATCCTCGTAAATCAATACCGCATCCCAGTCGTCTTGACAACATAGTAAAACTCTGTCACTACGATGGCTGTCACTGCACCTCCCCACCTTCATCGCTCGGAAAATGGCAACGTACAGCTGGTTGTTAAGGGCAAGCCCTTTCTCATGTTACCCGGCGAACTTCACAACTCATCACTGAGCTCGGCTAGGTTTATGAGTGAAGTATGGGGCCCCATGAAGCAGCAGTCCATCAACACACTCCTTGGGTCGGTCACTTGGGAGATGATTGAGCCAGAAGAAGGCAAATACGACTTCTCGGAGCTAGACAAAGTACTCGAGGGCGCCCGGCAACATGACATGAAGCTCGTCATTCTGTGGTTTGGGTCATACAAGAATGGTATATCTACATACGTACCAAACTGGGTCAAGCGCGACGCAAAGCGCTTCCCAAGAGTGCAGGTTTTGGAGGCAGGCGGGGTCAAACGGACGATTGAGATGCTGTCGCCGCTGAGCAACGAAAGCTGTGAGGCGGACGCTCGAGCATTCACGACTTTGATGCACCATCTAAAAGCTGTCGATGGCGAGCACCAGACCGTGGTCATGGTTCAGGTTGAAAATGAGACGGGGTTACTTGGGGATTCTCGCGATCGATCCCGGCGCGCCGAGAGGGCGTTCTCCAATCCTGTCCCCGAAAACCTCCTCAAGCACCTTTCCTCGATTGATCTGCATTCACAATTCAACGCTCGGTTCCCGAATGTTCCCTCATCTGGCGATCACAGCTGGGAGTCTGTCTTTGGCAAAGGCGTTCCGGCCAATGAAGCATTCATGGCATACAATATCTCCTCATACGTTGGCCGGGTGGCTGCTGCTGGCAAGAAGGAATACGACATTCCTTTTTACACCAACACATGGCTGAACTTTGACAACCCATCAGAGCTAGATATGTCCGGTACGCCCATTGTAGTGGGTGGTGGTGCGGAAGCAGGAGTCTACCCTTCAGGTGGACCTTGCCCCCATATGCTTGATATCTGGCGGTTTAATACTCCTTCGTTGGACTTCCTTGCTCCAGATCTATACTTTCATGATTACGAGTTGGTGTGCAAAAGATACAGCGAGCAAAAGAACCCCTTGTTTATCCCGGAGCAGCGCCGTGATGAGAACGGCGCCCGGCGTCTCTGGCTTTCCTATGGTACATACGGTGCTCTGGGTGCTAGCCCCTTTGGCATCGACACGGGCGCGGAAATTACCGGCCGCGAGTTTCGTTTGTTGAATCAGATCAAGCCATGCTTATTGGCGGCGGGCCCAGATGATCGATTTGGTTTCTTTTTTGACGAAGAGAAAGGGAAATGCAAGGAGAAATGGACCAAAGTCTTCGGCGAGATCGAAGTGATTGTGGAAAGGGCCTTCGTCTTCGGTAAAGCTGGACCGGGAGGCGGATTGGTGATTCACCTTGGAAACTCCCGGTTCTTGGCCGTTGGTCGGGGCTTCAATGTTAGCTTCAAGAGCACAAACAACAAGGCCACATTCACCGGCATCCTCAGGGCAGAGGAGAAGGAGGTTGACGAACAGGGTGAGCTGAGGACGCTGCGAGTGCTGAACGGCGATGAAACTAGGAGCGGAGAGTTCCTCATCATGCCCAACGACGACCCTGATTACGGAGGCTTCCCAATTGCCGTGACAATTCCGGCTAGGACGTGCATCGCTGAGATTGAGGCATACTATATTGTTGAGGAGGAGGAGGATAGATAGCTGGCTTGGAGTGTTCGCAAAGGCTGTTTCCACGGGCCTATACGAGTGAAACTCAGTACAAGAGAGAGAGAAAACTAAGGAAGCAATTTAGCAGTTGTAATTTAGATGATGTATGAACTGAAGACAGCAACCTAAATTGATCTCCATTGCTCCTTTCATGCAAGCGGCATGCCTCGCCACAGCTGGCCCCATCACCACACCTTTGTGGTAGCTTTAACGAATACAGTCAGCTCGAAACTTGGTTCTAAGCCTCCTGTTTTAGACATTGTCGCAGCCAAGCCACCGTCAAAACCTCACGGTCGTGCACCCGCTCGTTGCATATGCTGTTTTGTTTCCATGAGCTGGCTCCCATTTACTTAGCCTCGTTGTCAAAGGACCATAAAATTCCCTCGTTTCCCGCCTTAGGTTCATGTTTGTTTTTCCTAGTTAGCAAATCAATCTCGTTCTTACTACTAAGTCCCAGTCATCCTTGCAAACTCATCGCAGATCTTTCAGCTCGCTACTGTCATCTGTGTCTCACTTTTGCCAAGGCCTAATGCCCTGATCAGGTCCATGGGCCAATTGGCAGTCTCGACCACCCTGAACTGGGCCCAGCCTTCCGAAAAGCTTCGGGCGCACCAGCCTGTTCGAGTTATCGTCATGAACATAGCCACTGCTTAGCCTTGACTTGAGATCCTAAAGTGGCCCAGTTAAGACATGACTTATAATCCTCTCGATTTCCCATTATAGAGCAACAATTCACTTCCGAACCGAGATCAGTGCCCTCCTCGAGGCATAAGACGACAATATCCTGGTTCTATCCGGTTCCAATCTCAAGTCAGTCCAACATGTCGCATTTGAGAAATGAGTGGCTGGCCGACCGAGGCTTGGGTTTTGATGCGGTACGTGTTGCCTTAGACTCAATTGGATTTTTGGCGGGTTGCTTAATTCGCATCAGGATAACGATCCTAGGGTTGGCTCCTATCGCAATATGTCTTTACAGGGAGACATCCTCAGCCCTTCAGTCTCAAGGATTTCGTCTTTCCTCCCCCTGGTGGGAACACTTATTCTCGTGAGCATATACTGCATACTATGTGTTGTCCTCTTCTTAATCATGCGGCCGCGGTGCCCCCGCGTGTTCGCACCACGGACACAGCTAGGCTTAGTATCGTCACGGTCAGTTAACACATCTGGATACTAGAATTGTCTGTGCTGGGGTACATGAGCTAACCGTTTACAGAAGGCTGAGTCCAGCATTGCCCGATGGAGTCTTTAAATGGATCAAACCGTTCTTCGAAATCCCGGACACCTTCATCCTGAATCATTGCTCGTTGGATGGCTTTCTCTTCTTACGGTATCTCAAAGTTCTGCGCATCCTATGCCTTGTCGGTTGCTGCATAGCATGGCCGATCTTGCTCCCCGTACACATCACTGGAGGAAGAGGACTGAAGGGATTGGACCTCTTGACGGTTGGCAATATCCAGGATAATCGCAAGTTCTATGCACACGTGATTGTGGCTATCTCATGGTTCAGTAAGGAGCCATGTGCCATCGTTTTCGAAAGAACAATGAGTCCCGCTAATGATCATAGGCCTTACCCTTCTGGTGATCGTGCGAGAAAGTCTTTATTACATTAATCTGCGTATAGCATATGCCTCATCACCATTCTATGCCCATCAGCTTTCATCCAGGACTATTCTTCTGACCCATGTTCCCAAACGATACCGTAATGAATCTTGCCTTCGAAGACTGTTTGGCGATTCCGTCAACCGCGTTTGGATCCCCAAGACCTCGAGAGCCCTTACTAGACTCATTAACGAGAGGAAAGAGGTTACTTCAAAGTTGGAGGAGGCCGAGGTTGAGCTTATTGTAAAATCAAACAAAGCACACAACAAAGGTTCCAACCCCCATCTTCCGATTCCACCGCCAACGGCACCGTCTACACCTCCAACGACCGAAAACTCCACTGGAAACTGCCCTGGGAGACCGGATCACCAATCACCGGGTATTGAAGAGCCAGCTACGGTGACACTGATACCAAAGGGGTCCCGACCACGCCATCGCCTTTGGGGTCAGTTTGGACGCAAAGTCGACACCATCAGCTGGGCCCGCTCTCAAATCAAATCTCTCAACACTCGAATATTCAAGTTGCGTCGCCAGCTCCGTCAAACACATGTGTCTACCTTGCCGGCTGCATTTGTCGAGTTTGATACCCAAGAGAGCGCACATGCTGCGCATCAATATCTCGCTCACCATCAACCAACACAACTAATTCGTCACCTTGGTATACGACCAAACGATATACTGTGGCAGTCTCTTAGGATGGGCTGGCGAGAGCGCATCATCAGAACATCATTCTTCTATGGGTTAATTGTAGCTGCTATAATCCTTTGGTCCTTCCCAACCGCAGCCATTGGCGTGGTATCAAATGTGCAGTCCTTAAGTGAAAATCTGCCCTTTCTGTATTGGATAAGACAGATTCCACAACGCCTACTTCGGTTTCTTCAAGGATTTGTGCCTGCCCTAGTCCTGACACTCTGGATAGCAGTCGTTCCCGCTTTATTACGATGTATGACCTCCACCACCTTCTTCCTCTTATCTGATACTAACTGTTCATGAAGTTTGCGCCGTTCAAGCCGGTGCTTTATCGCTAAGCACGATGGAGCTATTCACACAAAAGTCTTATTTCGCCTTTCTGGTTGTGCAGGTATTCCTCATCACATCGTTCTCAACAACTGTATTCTCAATGTTGCCAAATCTACTTCAAAAACCGCTCAGCATTCCAGATATTCTCGCGAACAACATCCCAAGAGCCTCGGACTTCTTTTTTTCGTTCATTCTAATTCAATGTCTCGCTGATGGTGCTTCAACTGTCTTCCCAATTGTCGATCTATGCCGACACCATTTTTTAGGCCGGAAAGCCCGTACACCAAGGATGCAATATCGAGTGTGGAGAAGAATGAGACGAGTGCATTGGGGCACCGTCTTTCCTAGAATCTCTAATATGGGAGTCATTAGTTCGTTTGCTGAGAGCGCCAGCCTAAAGAATAATAGCTAACACAACACTGCAGCGCTTTGCTACGCCGGAATCGCTCCTGTCATTCTCATCTTTGCAGCCGGCGGGATGTTCTTCCTGCAAATGGTCTATCGTTACAATGTCATCTACGTGGTGGATTGCGATCTGACTAGTACCGGACTATTTTATCCCCAGGCATTGTTGCATCTTATAATCGGGCTTTACCTGGCTGAGCTCTGCCTGATTGGGATATTCATTCTAAAATCTGCTTTTGTTCCAATGGCCTTCATGATCTTGTTTGCCATTCTCACGGCCCTCGTGCATATCGAACTGAGCAAGGCCATCGATCCGCTGCTACATAATCTTCCTCAATGTTTGTGGCGTGAGGAAAAGGACCCTCCAGGCGGTCAAGAGGAAAATATGTTTGGAAACTCAACGTGCAACGCAAGAAGCCCTGGCCACGTGGCCACAGTGGAACAAGTAGAAGAGAGTGGGAGGGAAGAACGCGTCGAAGCTAATACAGACAATGGAGAGCTGAGTTTTGCCATGCTGTCTCTCCCGTCGAGGTTCAGGTTCAGTAGCATGAAGGCAGGCCAGACGCAAACATTGGAATCCAGAATGGTGTGTCATACGAGAATCTCTAGCCCTTGGAACCTGATGAAGCAATGTCATTCACTCTTCGGTCCCCAATGGTCAGTCCCTGATTTACGCAAGAAGATCCTGTCTCTCCATGAGACCGTGTCCTCAGATGCCTTTCAGGCATACGAGTATCCGACCGAAGGAACAACGGAGGCTTATCTGCCGCCAGAACTATGGCTTCCAAAACCAACATTGTGGATTCCACAAGACGGGATAGGCGTCAGCCGGCAGGAGATGGCCCAAGCGAAAAGATACACGCCAATAACGGATGTCGGAGCTACCTTGGATGAGAGCGGGCAAATTGTGACAAACTTTAGAGATGCGCCCATCGACGAAGCAAAATTGAGTGGAACACGTTGGGAGGCCATAGAGAGTGCGGCTCCGTCGTTGCTAAGTCCAAGCGCATTGGGTTTATAAACAGCGGATTACGCTATAGATTATTATATCTTAATAATCTCCTAGAGCTTCTCCTTATTAGTAAATAGTAGTTAAAGTAGCTTTTATATAAATATCCTCTCTTAAGGCTATAGTTAATTTATATATTAACTATCTGTATTCCCCTATTAAACTATAAATTCTTCAAGTGTCAATTTATAGACTTTGGGGAGTCCCAGTGTTCACCATCGGGAAAGTCTACTTCACAATCATTCATCACGTAGCCTAATTGCCACCTTCCAAGCCCAGGCCAGAAGTTGTCGTTCTTTGGACCGAGACTGTCCTGCGCATCGCCCTGCCGTATATCGAACCAACCGAGGCTGGTCTTACGGGACCACAGATTTGGCGATACTGCACACCACCTATCCGTTCCGGGCAATTCTCCTTGGCTGCCACTACCAGCGGGAAGAGGAGGGTGCACGAGAGTAGTGTTGATAATCCCAATGGAGTTCAGGACCTTGAAAGACAGCGGGAATGATGGTAGGTAAGCGGTGGGTTTGAAGGATGCCTGAAAGAACGGGGTAGGCGATGGACTTGACTCTTTTGGATCGTCAGTCGTATCGTGAGGGAACACCTTTACGGACATTTGTCCATCAACGCCCGTAACCCAGTCAAATTTGGCGAGATGCTTGGGAACATTCCAGTCTATAGCGCGCGTCAGTAAAATGTTATACGCGGAGAAGCGCCTGCGCGCAGCAACCCATTTGAGAGTGGTCATGTACTCACTCGTCCTTCCGTTCCAACTTGTAATCTTCTGTGATACGTAGGCTCGCGTGATACGCAGGTGCCTCTTCTTGACGCGCTTTCCATTCTTATCTTCGACTGTGTACTCGAAGGATCCGGGGCTTATGAGAAGCTCGTCGTACGGTCCAGCGGGCGACTCGGCGTAGCGGATGATCTGGATCATACTGAGGCCGCCGATGGGGCGACCGGCTTCAGGCGACGCGAAGGATGAAGCATGCTCGAGAGGGGAGTAGGCGACATCGGGCAGATTGCCGGAGGCGTCGACCTTTGTCCAGTACGCGAAGGCGTAGACACTCCCCTTGAGTTTCCAAGGAGAAGCGACCAGCGGGATGGCGTTTTCTTCAGCCATGGTCTCTTAGTCCACAGCAGAAAACAATGGACGGACAGATGACGGTGCGATAATGGTGACGCGAATTTAACGAGGGAAGCTCACCCCGCTGCGCGCGTGGAATATGACGTGCTTGAATTTGGAGAAGATCGGCTAACCGCAAGCCGCTGATGTCTAGCAGTTTTATGAAGCGTTATACTGGTCTTGGTCAGTGAACATTGTCTCACATAAGTCATCGAGTATTCGCGATTCATCCAATAGTATCAGTCAAGGCGTACAACCGGCATCTATTACTCTGACAAATTTTGCAAGGGGGGAATAGATCAGTACTGTACGCCCAAATACAGCATAGCATAGTATGAGTGCCTAACGGAGCCTGTGGCTAGCTATCCGTCGCTTGATGAACCGATGCAGGCGTTGCAGATTGCCTGAATAAACCAGAGGCATTAGCAGAGAAATAGCCCAAAATTTTCACCAGAGCAGAGCTCTTCGGTTCTATGATAGGCAGAAAGACAGAGGGAACTTGCAGCTACCCATCATGTATAGACGTCGCAGAAAGTTCCATCACAGCCGTCGCGTTTTACACGTTCTCCCATAACAAAAAGCCGAAGCTCTATATTTTTCAGTTCTCTGTCTATCGCTAAGGATTTTCCGTTGATCTCTTGCGTAATATTTGCTCTGCTAAGAAATAGAAATAGCTCCATTGCCTAACACAACTCGTCCGCCGAGATAATAGACCTATCACTAAGACTGCTCGCACTTCCAGTCCGGCCACACATTTCATTAATGGCAACAGGTTGCTTCATGCTGTTTGGGCATTCTCTGCCATCTTGTGATGAGTGCTGAGTATCATTCGCCAGGTTTATGGCCAAATCTCGCTGCTCTTTTGCCCCTAGTCCAATGTGGCACCGTGATTACATTCAATACCATGAAAAAAACATACACGGACTTGCCCATTAGCTTAGAAATGATCAAATTTGTAAATGCCAGACATTCGCTTTCATATGCAACACCGAAATCCTAACATCTACCTGCAGGTATATCCCCCATCAACCATCAAGACACTGCCGGTGACAAACGAACTGCGTCCACCAGCAAGATATAAAACACCATCAGCCAGTTCTTGAGGCTGACCCATGCGCTTCATCGGTACTGCTGTCGATACCCGCTCTTGCATTGCCTTCAGCACGTCGGGGTTCTTGGTAGTCAGCGGGGTCTCGGTGTACCCAGGGCAAATGGCATTGATCCGAAGGCCCTGGTCCGCGTAGTCCTCTGATGCAGTCCGCGTAAGCCCGACGATGGCGTGCTTGGACGTGCAGTACGCGGCGGAGAGGGTGATGCCCACAACGCCCTGGATGGAGCTGAAATTGACAATGGAGCCGCGCTGCAGTGGGCGGCCATCGACAGAGGAGAGGATGTAGTCTTGTTTCAGCATGATCTGGGCAACGGCCTTAAGCACAAAGAACGACCCATCCAGGTTGACGTCCAGGATGCGTTTCCAGTCCTCTGTCTTGGCAAAGGCGACACCGCCCTGATGCTTCATGGCTAGGCCGGCGGCGTTGACAGCATAGTCGATGCGGCCAAACTTGGCTGCGATGTCGTTCACGGTGGCGATGACCTGCTCTTCGTTTGCCACGCTGATGGCGTAGCTGAGAACACGGCATTTCGGTGAAGCGGCCTCAATCTCGGACTTGACAATCTGTAGCGCCTCCTCGTTGAGATCGAGAAGAGCCACTCCGGCTGATCCTTCCTTGGCGAAGCCGTTCGCACAGGCCCGGCCAATGCCAGAGGCAGCTCCGGTGATGACGGCGAATCCCGGCACATCCATCGTGTATGTAGAAGTTTGAGAGTGGGAGGAAAGGGGAATTGAAGCGTAAAATAGTGATGAACGGAAGGAAACGGGGTAGGCCTGTGCTGTGTTGTGTAACTGTCCTACTCCCCAAAAGACATTCATATTCTTTATATGTCCAGATTTGCCTGTGTGCCACTATCGGATACCACTCTATCACCGGCTGGGGAAACCTTCCTCATAGAATTCAATACCTACGGGCGACACTCACATGAATCTGGACCACGTGGATACCGGCTTATCGAGATCATGTGGGCTCCTGCGGGGGTGCAAAGAGCCGTGGCGAGGATAAATCTGGGGAAGATAACCAGGGAAGACTTCCCTTGTTTGTCGACGGCCGGGTGCCTATCAATTGACTGATTGAGTATGACTCGCCGTGCTATCTGCATCTCGGGAGTTTAATTGATTTATTCGGAAGTTGGGGCCAATCAAGTCGAGCGCGCAGATCAACGATATCGGAGCAAATGGGGCTTCCAGTCTGCTTTCCACGGCCGATAAGACAACAATGTCACAGGTGTCGGGAACTCCTCCGATGCGGACTTGGTAGTGTCAACACAGGAGATCAGGGATAAAAGACACTATTTTGATATGGATACAGTATGTGCCAACGTGAAAAAAATGAGAGGATGGATACTTTATCTCTGGGCCACATGAACCGCGAATCATAATGAACAGCACGCAGATTATTACTTCGAAATATATTAATAAAGGTGCAGACTTCATTAGCCAGAGTAACTCCAGCGCAACAAGATATGCTAAGCATTATGTAGACTGTTACCAGGAGGTAATTCAAAGTTTGAGATCTCGGTGTTAGGAAGGCTAGTGCAGAAACAATTATATTATCTATGCCAATCTAAGCAAATATCAATGACTTGTAGCCATTATCTTTGGCCTCCTGGCATCGTCTACGGTACTCCTGAACGGTACCCGAATATCTAGCTACAATACGAACAGTCTTCCCCTTCACGTTCTTGTTCACACCAGTCATCCAACTGTCAACCTCGTTGATCAGCGACCCCTTGCTGCAGTCGGCAACGTGCTGAGTCCAGGTGTCTGCGGCCTCCGGTGTCGCCTCAATATATGTGTAATCGTTCTTCTTGGCGTGTTCCAAGATGCCCATGGCGACCTGGACCGAGTGCTCAATGTTGCGCGAAGCATTTCCTACAGGTTGATGGGGACCCATGACCGTTAGAAGGTTGGGCATGTTTGGGATGGTCATGCCGAGGAAGGTATAGGGACGATGGTCAAGCCAGACAGCTCGCTCGCCTTTGGGGTCAGTGGAAACGCCTACGAGCGGGCGGCCATCCTTTCCTTTCCACTCAATAGCCCGGAAGGCACCTGTGATGGCATCGAATCCGGTCGCGTAGATGAGAACATCGAGCTGACGCAGCGCGCCATCGCTTGTCTCAATGCCGGCCGGCTTGACTGTGGTGATGGGGGTCTTCTTAAGATCTACTAGATGAATGTTGGGCTTGTTGTACACTTCAAAGTAGCCGCTCTCCAATGGGACACGGCGCATGCCAAATCCGTGGTCTTTAGGAACCAGGCTGTCTGCAACACCGGGATCATTAACTCGCTGGCGAATCTTGTCCGCAATGAAGTTGGAGTAGAGGGTGTTGGCCTCTTTGTTTGTGTAGCAATCGCTGAAAACACCGAGCCACTTTGAGAAGCCCGGCTGGCTGTAAATCTTCTCCCAGTGCGCGAGACGGTCGGCTTCAGAGACTTCAAGGGTCTTGCGCGGGTCGGCCCTGTGCAGGAAACCGGTTGGGGAGGCGGTGCATTCAGCGAAGAGATTGTCGTAGTTCTTGACATGTTCGGCCATCTGCTCCTCCGAGATGGATTCATTGCGCAGAGGCGCAGACCAATTAGCCGTTCTCTGGAATACAGAGAGAGATTTGATGCTGTCAATCTTGGAGAGTGCGGTGATGGTCTGGATGCCGGTGGCGCCAGTGCCAATGACACCGATGCGCTTGCCCGCGAACTCCTTCTCCATGTCGAGGTTCTTGGGCCAGCGCGAGGTGTGAAATGCCTGGCCTGCGAAGGACTCAATGCCTGGAATGGCTGGCAGTGTGGGTGCTGAGAGGAAGCCAATGCTGCTGATGAGGAATCTGGTCGTATACTTGCTCCCCTCGGCGGTCTGCACTGTCCACTGCCTGCCGGCATCGTCCCATGTTGCTGATTTGACAGTGCGGTCAAAGTCGATATCTTTTTGCAGGTTGTTCCGGTCTGCGAAGCGCTTGATATATCGGTACACCTCGCCTTGGGTGGAGAAGGTGTCCTTCCAGTGCCACTCCTTCAGCAGCTCCTTGTCGAAGGAGAAGCAGTACGAGAGTGATTCGGTGTCTACCCGACAGCCAGGGTACGAGTTATAATACCAAGTACCGCCGACATCTGAGCCGCGTTCGACGACTTTGATGCGCCAGTCAGGGAAACGCTCGCGCGCGTTATAAAGGGTGGCCAGGCCTGACAGGCCAGCACCTAAGATGACGAGGTCGTAAGAGCGCTCGGTCGACTGGCCGGAACCCATTATGAGACGCCAGAAAGCAATTAATTCAATTGAAGACAAGAGAGTTTTTGCGGTTTAAAGTTCTATTCGCAGAAGACAGTGCGGTTAAGAGCCCAGTGATGGATGAAATAAATCTGATGCTTCTATTTCGTCTCACTCTACGGCATCCGTCTCTAAATACTTTGCAATCGGCTTGAGCCGACTGCCTACGGCTCTGCCACAGCCAATGGTGGTATGGTGTGACCCCTGGAGGCGGAGAAGGTTTCTGCACGACTTTCCCCAACTCCTTGACACCTGACACTAGCCATATTCTGGAGACACTTGCCGTTTGCTGTCTTGGGAAAGTCTCCCCCTTGGCCCACTCCCTTATCTCCATCACGCGGACGAGGCGTTGCCCCCATCCTTATCCGCTGGGCATGGATCTCTCCTTTTCAAGTGGTTTACGCAACGATAAGGACATCGCTGGCCTAACTGATTATCAAACAATCCGCGATTGGGTAATACCTCACTCGGGGTGATCAAAGCGTGGCGACTTCGGCGCCCGAGTCGCGTTCTCACGTTCGAGCTGGTCACTTCTCTCCTTCACCCTTCATGATAGAGACCCCCATAGCTCTAGGCACCCTTCCAGCAGCCTCTGATCAAACAGGAAAGCTTCTGCAATCTCTGTCAGCGGGTCTCGACCCCAGATTAGAGGGATCAAACGGCTTAGCTCTTCCCCGCATGCACTAGTCTTATCTGTTCAGCCGGCAGACTCATCCCTGTCGTAGAAGGTTTCATTCATGCGTCACTTTCCACGGGTGATTTTTCATCTTCTCATTTGCGTCCCAGACAATACAGAAACCAGAAGCCATGGAAAAATATGCTCGACGCAGCCGATCGTTCGGGGGTTGTGTAACGGTAAGTCTTCCCAAGTGTCTTGCCCCGGGTCATCCGTGAGCCATTTCTCACAATTTCCACAGTGCAGGATCCGTCGGATGAAATGCGATGAGACGAAACCGAGTTGCTCAGTATGCATCTCCCACCATCAAAAGACGATGCTGCGTCCGGTGCGGCCCGTTTCCGGCGCCCGCTACTTACCGAGGAGGAGCGAGAGAGCATGAGCAGGGAGATCGTCTCAAGCGTCAGGCCATCGCTGGCTCTTTTGAACATATACCAAATCGACGAAGAATGCGAGAATGCATCAAATAGCCGGGACATTCAAATCTCTCGGGGGCCTTTTGGGGTGTTTGGTCTAACGCAACGGACCGAGACTTCGCCTGTCAGTGAAGAGCTGGGAACGCCCAGCCCAATGACCTTACAACAACAAAACATCAACGTCCCATTTGAGGACCCCGGTGCCGAAGCCGACTCGCATGACGACATTATGGCATCCCCGCCGGAAAGATCACTATCAACAAAGCCATCACAACCAACAGTATCGTACATGACGGAACGAGATAGCCCCAGCCAACGTCCCAGCTACCTGAACAGCATGGAAGACTGGTGGCTCATGAATAGCTTCGAGGACATGAACGGTTGGTCCGATGGCATGCTGCAACCAGATTCATATCGTATCCAGGAACTCCCAGAAGATATCTCACTTGCCGAACTGGATACATCGCCGCTGCCGGATGCAGCTCGACATTCACCGAGTTCAAGCGCGTTATCAGTATCACATGTGCTCAACCCACCTCTCAGCCCCCCACAGTCTTTATCAATTCCTGCCGCCATCGATATCACAGTTCCCTACGATGCCGTGTTTCTTCTCAAGCACTATTCAACAACCGTCCTTCAGTCTCTCACGCCATTCCGTCACAGTAAGACACCGTGGCATGTCCTTTTCCTCCCGCACGCCAAAAGTTGCTTGGCCGCCCTCACCCTTGGAGAGTCCCTAGACGATGCCAGTCTCTGCGCATTCTACGGAACCCTGGCGTTGAGCGCCAACAGCCTCGCTGTCATATCAAATTCACAAGAGTGGTATGAACAATTTAGGCAATACAAGCAAAGAGCGCTGTATCATGTTCGCCAGATGCTCAAGACTGCCTACGATATCCCCAAAAAATCGAAATACAAATCCCTCTTGCTCGCCCTCTTAACCATGGTGCAAATCTCGAGCGTGTCCCGAGCCTCGGATCAGAAGGAGTACTACTTCCTAGAAGCCGAAAAGTTGATCCGTGTCAAGGGCCTCAACCGGAGAAAGTCGCGCAAGGTCCGCCTGCTGCATCACTGCTACACCTTTGAAAGGTTGCAGCACGAGACCACCTACCCGGGGACAAGTCATTCTCCGTATAGGTCATTGGTCCGCAACGCCATCGAGACGAGCGGGGCTTCGGTGTATAGCCGGGATAGCTTGTCATTCCGACCGAGCGAATGGGCCAACCTTGACGAGGCCATGACCAAGGTGAAGGACGCGGATGTAGGAGAGAACGACCTTCATCTCCAGACACCCGGGATATGGGTTGCTACTCTGTACCCAGAAATCTTCGGTGTTCAAGAGGTTTACGTATTACTCTTGTCTCTCATCATCTGTCTCGGACGAGCCAAGAATGATGTCAACAGCACCGAGAACCTTGGCCTGAGGGAGTTTATGCGCCGCGCCAAGTCCATCGAGAAGCGAATCCATCAGCTGAAGAAGCTCCCGGACGTCTTGATGGCAGAGTACGATCAGCGCGCGTCCCAGCCGCTCCTGGAAATTCTGTGCAATGCGACGCAGCAGGCCATCGTGATTTATCTATACCGGACGCTCTATGACGTAGATTCGAGCATGCTGCAGAGTGAGGTTGCCAGTATCCGTGACTGCCTGGCCCGGTATGAGGATATTGACGACGGGCAAGGATATGGTTCGGTGAGGTTGGCGTGGCCGGCGTTCATAGCGGCGAGAGAAGCAGAGGATGAGGGGGTGAGGCTGGCCTTTCTCCGGTGGTTCAATAATAATGCACGGCGTAGCGGACTCAGAGTATTTTCAGATTCGCAGGCCGAGTTGGATATGATATGGGAAGAGAAGAGGAGGAATGAAACTAGCCAGAATATAGGGATACTCGTGTAGCAAAATCAGACGACTTTTGATTTACGAAATTTGGACGGCGTGTCCTTCTCAATCTGCAAAAATAGTTTCTTTCCCCATTAAGACTAAACCTACGTCTTTAGAGATACGACCTGTCCTTATCTGGGTAGTCTGGAAATACTTTCCGCTTGCTGTCCCCAGGAAAGTGTTGCCCAACGCAGGTGGGAGAAGGCGGGGAACCCTCGGCTTCAGGCCCGATCCCAACGGTCACCAGATCTATATCAGGCGGATCGTATTTGTGCCAGGTCTATATCTAGATCAGTCTCATAACCAAGATAACTCGAACAAACCTGTGTCATTCACTGAAATAATTCACCATGTCTTCGTTTGAAGGAAAAGTTGTAAGTTTCGTCTCCAGACCAACCTGCTCTACAGCAGAGTCTAATTATGTCAGATCGCCATTACTGGCGCAGCCTCAGGCATGGGCCTCGCCACTGCCCAGCTGTTAGCATCGCGGGGAGCCCTAATTTCACTTGCCGACCTGAATGAGGGTGGTCTTAAAGAGGCGCAGGCAACTCTCGCATCCAGCGACAAGCACCTTTCAATAGCCGTCGACGTGCGGGACAGCCAATCTGTAAACTCATGGATTGAGCAAACCGTCAAGAAGTTTGGCAAGCTGGACGGCGCCGTCAACATGGCGGGCGTCATCGTTCCCACTACCCCAGTCAAGGATATGAAGGACAGTGACTGGGACTTCATGTTTTCTGTCAACACTCGTGGCGTTTTCAATTGCATCAGGGCTCAACTGAACGCCATGACGGACGGAGCAAGCATCGTAAGTGGCCCTAGTAGTGGCACTCTTCCTCCACGGTAATCACAAACTCACACCTTTAAAATCACATTATTAGGTCTCTGCAGCCAGCGTATTTGGCCAGTTTGGAGCACCGGGAAACTCGGCGTAAGTGCAGCAAATTCCAACCTCCAACCAACGGTATGTATCTTCGGATTTGTATAATGATTCTAACTTCAAGTGTGCCCAGGTACTGCGCTAGCAAAGCTGCCGTCATCGGACTTACCCGGACTGCGGCAAAGGAAAACCAGAAGATCAGAGTAAACTGCGTTTCGCCAGGTAAGCAATCCACGCCTTGTCGTAATGCGGAGAAGTTCAATTCAGCTGAAACAATGTCCAGGATCTGTCAACACCCCCATGTCTCGCGGCGAAGACCCGGAACATGTCAAGAAGGGCCTGCAAGTCACTGCACAAAAGCGAAGAGCAGAGCCGTCCGAGATTGCGACGGTCATTGCATTCCTGCTCAGTGATGAAGCGTCTTTTGTGACAGGAGCTGTTTACAATGTTGATGGAGGTTGGGTATGCTAATGGTTTAATATATAAATATTCTTTATGACTGGACTTATTCTTTACTCATGCCCACTTCCAAGTCTCAAGTTTGATTTCGCCACTGCGAATAGTGTAGCACACTTGCTGACAGTTGAACACGTCACAGCTGATCACCTTGGTCCCCGGCTTGTGAATTGAATTGACAGAAGCATTATGATTGGTAATATGTCTGGCTGGGTTTCTTACTACCAGGAACAGGACCTGCTTCCCAAATAATCGCCAAGGTGCCTAAAAAGGGAACAAGAGAAAGAATACTACCCTAGCTCAATTATTTCACTCTTAGTATGGGAGTAAGTAATTAATAACTGTCATTCAAAAGTCCTACCAGTGATTCAGGTAAGGGGGCTGAACCTAGGGTAGGTAGGCTCCGAAGGCAGGCAAACTAGAAGCCTGCTTCTGTCAGGGCTGCCGCATGAGATTAGGTCTCATGGATTACAGCCGGTTTCTGCACCATTAAAGTTCTTCCTATCCAAGTATTGATTTACGACAAGGAAATAGCATGGTGTGAATGGGGCAGGTGGCTGGCGCAGCTGACTTGCCGTGTTACATATATGAGAGTAACATTCGGGTAATATGAACGACGTAACCTGAGACAAACCAGGAGCCATCTACAAATAACGATGGTACGCCCCTCAAAAAGTGAAAAGGCAAATTGCTCTCTCAAGTTGTTGGATATCAAAAGTCTACAATCACTCAGGCCCTACAATGTCTTTCGTTCCCCCTGGTGGCCTTGTTCTTGTCACTGGTGCCAATGGATATATTGCCAGTGTCACCGTCAAAACACTCCTAGAGGCGGGGTATTCTGTTCGCGGGACAGTCCGATCAATTTCCAAGCACCGTCCTTTGTTGGATTACTTCGGCCCTAAATTCTCCCTCGTCGAGGTTCCAGAAATCGCAGCAGACAATGCGTTTGGGAAGGCGGTTTTGGGCGTCGACGGCATCGCACATGTTGCAGCCAACACACAATTTGGTGCCGGTTTAGCCCTTATTTCCCAGAATGTAAAGAGTTTCATCAACATCCTTGAGGCAGCTGCGAAAGAACCGCAGATCAAAAGAGTCGTTATCACCTCAGCGCAAGGTGCTTGCGCCAGTTGCCAGCCAGGTATTCCATATGAAATCAACCAGAGTACCTGGAATAAGAAGTCGATAGAAGCGGCCAATACCCCATTTGATGGGAAGGATCCCCTCAAATATTCCCTGGCCGTCTTTTCCGCTGCGAAGACTCTAGCCGAGCAGAGTGCCTTTGACTGGGTACGTGAGCACAAACCACACTTCTTCCTGAACTCAGTCGTACCCGCTGTCAATATTGGGAAAGTCCCAGCAATTGAGCATCTTGGGTTTGGTAGCAGCGGGGCACTGATTGATTCAATTGTACGAGGATCGGCAATAGGGGCAACAATCATACCATCGCAGTGGTTTGTCAATACCGAAGATACAGCATTGCTTCATCTGGCAGCGTTGACCCTTGAAGAGGTCCAGAATGAGAGAATTCTGGCATTTTCTGCGCCTTATTCATGGATGCAAATGATTGAAATTCTCCACAGGCGATTCCCTGAGCGGAATGCTACCATGCTCCAATCTGTTGATGAACCAGAGACAGACAGAGGCGTAGTGGATAATACGCGTTCAGTCGAGCTTCTCAACCGGATGGGGAGACCAGGCTTCAGAAATCTGGAGGAAACGCTTGTTGCGGGCATGGAATCAGTACTTGAGGCGGAAAGCTTACCAGTTAGACCATGGAGTCGCCTAGATCAATACCTACAGTGACACTCGTCTTGAGGTAGGAAAGTTCGAGAGACAATGGTTCCCGTGTTGGAGCTTCTCTCGGCATAGGTAATTATGGAGATTCAAGTAGAAGCATGCTTTCTGAATTACACCTCCAGTAGTGCTATTTCTCATACTACCTTAGATAATAACTGTTCTCTGTCGTTGGCAAAAACCTTTATACCAAGTAGCTTGACATGCACCCTACCGGCTTTATTTGGAAATGCCAGGGACGTTCACAACATCTCCATTGCTCAGAAGGTAAGGTGTTTCATATCCAATAGAAAGCAAAGACCTGCTCGCATCAACCCAATCAGGTTCCTGCTCCAAGGCAGCTGGCCAGTCAGGGTCTGACATGACATTGTTGAGGGCCTCGATGTTGGGGACTGTGTACTCCAGGAAGCAGTCGAAGTCAGCAAAGCTCCAAGTTGGACGCTTCTCGATCATCATAGCCTTCAACCCGGAATTCATGTCAGAAGGAGTTGTAAACTGTCCACGCCATGTTAGATTTTTGGAAGCTAATTGAGAGCGTCTGGGCCTTTCTTACGATCTTGTACTCAAGTATTCCATGCTTTTTGAAGATAGGGATCGCACGTGGGAGGTGCCAATTGACAATCCAATCGATAAAGGCTTCATGAGTATGCTCCGGTTTACGATAGTGAGTGAGGGTGAATTTAATAGGCCGGCTGCCTTGTGTATCCTTAACCTCAGCCATGGTGTATTGATTGTGTTCTGTTATGAAAGAAGAATGAACGAAGTCAGCCTTCACCGGGAATTCAGAAGAAAAAAAGCAGTTAGTTTTATTCCTGCTTGACGCGAGATGTAAGGCGGTCTGACTCAGAAATACTAATTGAGCTATCTGACACACTACTCTTCCCGGTCATGTCTTTCTAGCTTTCTCTTACATCATCCCAAAGAAGCCACATCTCTGAAGCGATTTGCTTACTTCCTTCTAGTAGTTAGCATGAAATACCTAGTGGATGGAGTGGGTGGCGTGATGTGAAATCGGAACCCCCTCCCCCTACCACGCGTTGAGTGTTTTGGTCATTGACTCTCGGTCTTTCAGCCTGTCGCATTATCCGGTTTGGGCTTTTGTATGGCATTGTACCTCACAAGGACTACTTTTCCTCATGATGCGTGCGTCATCTTTCCATTGCTACACATCGTTAAAACTACACCTCCAAAGCACTTTACATATATCCCACACTCTAGTGTACAAAGTGACATCCCGTCGCAAGGGCTAGTACGTTCAGCCAAGCCAATCTTTGGGCCAAGTTCCAGAAATAGACCATCCAGTCCTCCCTTGCCTTCGTCACCACCGCTAATATCGCCGTGATACTGTCGTCCTTGCTAGTGTCCCGGCACTTAACTAATTCCAATGTCGGCGCAGAATCCGAGAACAGGTATACAGATGCCGATAGCACAGTTCTGATTCAGGAAGGAACAGTCGGCGTCAAGGAGTAGACCACAGATGTTGATCACGGGAAGACAAATGCCAATAGTGCAACCTTCCCCACAGTCACCGCCTAGCCCCCCTGTGACGCAAGTACCGTCTTCGCAGGTCTGGCCCTCGGGACATTCGTCGGTGTTCTGGCAGCTGGATGAACTGGGTTCGCAAGTATTGGTGGTCAGGTTGCAGTCCTCGTTTTCGTCACAGTCAAAGTCGTTGGCGCAGTAGCCGTCAATGGGCTCACATGTGTTGGACTCAGTATTACAAGACTGGCCAGCTGGGCAGTCTGCCGTCTCTTGACAGAAGCCGTCAATGGGTTCGCAAGTGTTAGAGCCTGTGTTACAAGACTGGCCAGCTGGGCAGTCTGCTGTCTCTTCGCAGAAGCCGTCAATAGGTTCGCAAGTATTGGACCCAGTGTTGCAAGACTGACCAGCAGGACAATCTGTAGTATCTTCGCAGAAACCATCAATAGGTTCGCAAGTATTAGAGCCAGTGTTGCAAGACTGACCAGCGGGGCAGTCTGCAGTGTCCTGACAGAAGCCATCAATTGGTTCGCAAGCGTTGGATTCGGTATTGCAAGACTGACCAGTAGGACAGTCTGTGGCATCTTGGCAGAATCCATCGATAGGTTCGCATGTATTAGAGCCAGTATTACAGGACTGACCAGTAGGACATTCTGCGGTATCTTGGCAGAAGCCATCGATAGGCTCACAAGTATTAGAGCCAGTATTGCAGGACTGACCTGCCGGGCAGTCCGTACTATCTTCACAGAAGCCATCAATAGGTTCGCAAGTGTTTGACTCAGTGTTGCAAGACTGACCAGTAGGACAATCTGTAGTATCTTGGCAGAATCCATCAATAGGCTCACAAGCGTTGGATTCGGTATTGCAAGATTGGCCAGCGGGACAGTCTGTAGTATCTTGACAGAATCCATCAACAGGTTCGCAAGTATTAGAGCTAGTATTGCAGGACTGGCCGGCGGGGCAGTCTGTATTGTCTTGACAGAAACCGTCAATAGGCTCACATAGGTTGGACCCAGTATTGCAAGACTGACCAGCAGGGCAATCTGTAGTATCTTGACAGAAGCCCTCGATCGGCTCACAGAGTTGTGTATCCAGGTTGCAGCTCTCACCCTCATTACAGTCGGCTTCACTAGCACAGTATCCGTCAATGTTCTCACAAACATTGGACGCTGTATTGCATGTCTGGCCTTCTTCACAATCACTCTGGCTCTGACAGAATCCCGGGATATCCTCGCAGGAATTGGACTGAGTGTTACAAGTTTGACCTTGTTCGCAGTCGGTCCCATCCTGGCAGAATCCTGGGATATCTTCACAGGTGCTCGACTCAGTGTTGCAAGTCTGACCCTGTTCGCAATCACCCTGGCTTTGGCAGAAGCCTGGGATATCCTCACAGGTGTTAGAATCGGTGTTGCATGTCTGGCCTTCTTCGCAATCACCTTGACTTTGGCAGAATCCTGGGATATCTTCACAGGTGTTAGACTCGGTATTGCAAGTCTGGCCCTGTTCACAGTCACTCTGGCTCTGGCAGAATCCTGGGATACCCTCACAAGTGTTGGACTCGGTGTTGCAAGCCTGACCTTGTTCGCAGTCGCTTTGGCTCTGACAAAATCCAGGAATGTCCTCACAGGTGTTGGACTCGATGTTGCAAGTTTGACCCTGTGTGCAGTCGTTCTCATCCTGACAGAATCCCGGGATGTCCTCACAGGTGTTGGACTCGACGTTGCAAGTTTGACCCTGTTCACAGTCGTTTTGACTCTGGCAGAACCCCGGGATATTCTCGCAGATGTTGGACTGGGTGTTGCATGTCTGACTCTGTTCACAGTCGTTCTCATCCTGGCAAAACCCTGGGATGTCCTCGCAGATGTTACTTTCATCATCACAGTATTGACCAACGAGACAGTCATCATCGCCAGTGCAAGGGACTGGACCATCTTGGCAGGTATTAGACTCGGTGTTGCAAGTCTGACCCTCCTCGCAGTCGGAATCATCGAGACAGAAGGATCCAGGATCGCGATCCTCACATATGTTGGTGCTTAGGTTGCAAGTCTGGTCTTGGTTGCACTGGGAATCATCGACACAGTAGCCGGGAATATCCTCACAAGCCTGGCTGGCAGGGTTGCATTGCTGACCCGCCGGGCACTGGCTGTCGTCAGTGCAGGTGTCAGGGCTGTTCTCGCAGATATTGAGGTCGAGATTACAGGACTGGCCCTCTTCGCACTGGTCCTGGGACTCGCAGAAATCGGGACCATTCTCGCAAACACTGGTGACGGTGTTGCATACCTGGCCGGGGGAGCAATCGTCATTAGAGACGCAGTAGCCGGGAATGTCCTCACAGGCCTGGCTAGAAGAGTTGCATTGCTGACCCGCCGGGCACTGGCTGTCGTCAGTGCAAGTCTCAGGGTTTTTCTCGCAGATATTGAGGTCGAGATTGCAGGACTGGCCCTCTTCACACTGGTCCTGGGATTCGCAGAAATCGGGGTCGTTCTCGCAAACGCTGGTGACGGTGTTGCATATCTGACCGGGAGAGCAATCGTCATTGGCAACACAGTAGCCGGGGATATCCTCGCAAATGTGCTCATCAGCATTGCAGCTTTGGCCTAGCTCACAGTCCTCGCTAGAAGCGCAATAGCCATCGATCGGCTCGCAAGTATTCTCCGCCAGGTTGCAGCTCTCGCCTTCAGGACATTGGGCGTCGTTGGTGCAGGAGCCAGGAATGTCCTCGCAAGTGTTGCTCTCTGTGTTGCAGAACTGGCCTGCCTCACACTCATTATCAGCTTCACACGCTGGAGCTTCTTCGCACTCGTTGGTGTCGAGGTCGCATGTCTGGCCGTCGCCGCACTCATCATTGGAGCTGCAGAAGCCGGGAATGTCCTCGCAAGTCATGTTGTCAAGATTACATTGTTCCCCCTCGTCGCAATCGCTGTTGGATTCACAAGAATCGGGAGGGAGCACGCAAATATTGCTTGTCTGGTCGCAACTCTGTCCGAGCGGGCACTCTTCGTCGGATTGGCAGGGCGTGTTTGGTCCAACTACGCAAGAGCCGTCATCTTGGTTACATATCTGGCCCGCTGGACAGTCGTCATCTGAGTTGCAGTTGCCTGGCGACGAAGGCTCACAGCTCCCAAGCTCAATATTACACTCCTGACCGGATGGACAGTCATCATCTGAGTTACAGATATCGGGTAATGTAGGCTCGCAGAGAAGAGTATCAACATTACAACTCTCCCCCTCAGCGCAGTCAGAGTCGCTCTCGCAAGTCGTCGTCTGTCCCCCAGGCTCGCAAGTATTGGTTTCCAGATTACAGACCTCATTATTAGAACAGTCGCTGTTGGAAGCACAGCTTGTAGGCGAGCTCTCACAGACACTGAGATCAACGTTGCAAGTCTGCCCAGCGGGGCACTCGTCATTAGTCTGGCAGCTGGCTGGTGTATCAGATTCACATATGCTGAGCTGGGCGTTGCAAACATATCCACTGGCGCAGTCCTCATCTGAAGCGCAAGTTACTGGGCCACTAGGCTGGCAAGAGTTGGATTCCTGGTCGCAGGATTCGCCGTCTGGGCAGTCATCATCAGACTGGCAGACGTCAGGAGATGCGGTGCAAACCCCACGGTCGCCGTCACAAACCTGGCCATCAGGGCACTCGCTGTCAGACTCGCAAGGACTAGAAGGAAGGGTCTCGCAAACATTGATAGCAGTGTTGCACTCTTGACCAGAGGGGCAGTCACTGTTAGATTCACACCCATCTGTTGATAACGCCTCACAAATTCCCTCATCGATGTTGCATCGTTGGCCAGACGGGCAGTTGCTGTCAGACTCGCAAGGAGTCGGAAGAGGGGTCTCGCAAACATTGGTATCAGTGTTGCACTGTTGGCCAGATGGGCAGTTGCTATCAGAATCACAGGGAATAGGACGAAGGGTCTCGCATATGCCCTCATCGGTATTGCACTGTTGACCGGACGGACAGTCACTATCAGATTCACATTCATCGGTTGATGACGCCTCGCAAATACCCTCATCAGTGTTGCAGCGTTGGCCAGATGGGCAGTTGCTGTCAGAATCACATGGAGTGGTAGGAAGGGTCTCGCAAACATTAGTAGCAGTGTTGCACTCTTGACCAGAGGGGCAGTCGCTGTCAGATTCACACCCATCTGTTGATAACGGCTCACACATGCCCTCATCAGTGTTGCAGTGTTGGCCAGATGGGCAGTTGCTATCAGAATCACAGAGGGTGGGAGGAACGGCCTCGCACATACCCTCGTCGGTATTGCACTGTTGACCGGAGGGACAGTCGCTGTCTGACTCACACTCTGTAGAGGTGGGCTCGCACACTTTGAGGGCGGAGTTACACGTGCTATCAACAGGACAGTCGTCATTGGTCTCGCATGGGGTTCCGTCAATAGGTTCGCACGTATGGGACTCTTCTGAGCAGAACTCGCCGTCGGGGCAACTGGCAGACTCTATACAGAAGGAAGGCGAGACCGTACAGATATTATTGATGGAGCAGCTCTGACCAGTCGGGCAGTCTCCATCAGAAAAGCAGCCTGTGGGGGGAATAGTCTCACACAGGCCACTCTCCAAGTTGCAGGTCTGGCCCGCGGGGCAGTCGGCTTCCCTGCTGCAGGTGACTGGCTCTATGGGCTCGCAGACATTCAGATCTTGGTTGCACGAATCATTGTCAGGACAGTCTTCATTAGAACTGCAGCCGACAGGTCCAATCAGCTGACAGGAGTTGTCCGTGTGAGAACAGAAATGATTCGGAGGGCAGTCAGTGTCTGCTGCACAACTCGAGGATGTGGACTCGCATACGTTGCGATTGTTGCAGGTCTGACCAGCAGGGCAATCCTCATCCGTTCCGCAGCCAACGGTGGTCTCCGGAGCACAGATGTTCTCATTGCATGTCTGACCAGCGGGACAGTCGCTATCATTGTTACAGCTACCAGTTCCGGGAGTGCAGATGCCGTCGTTGCAGACCTGATCCGTAGGGCAGTCACTATTGCTGTCACAGGTAGGATGCTCGATAGGAGTACAGTAACCCCCCAGGCAGATGTTGTTGGATGGGCAGACGTTGCCATCAGGGCCGCACTGGGATGGGTTGCCGATCGGGATGCAGTTACCCAAGACACAGACAGAGTCCTCGGCGCACTTGTTCCCGTCTGCATCACACAGGTCAGGATCAGAAAACGGGACGCAGGCCCCACCGAGGCAGATGAAGCCAGAGGGACACGCGCGACTCGAGTCCAAGTTAGTTCCAGGAGCGTTGCAGGTGCCGGGCTGACTGATGTCGATGCACTGCCCGTTGAGACAGATACGGTCCGAGCCACACTCACGTTCGCACTGGGTAGGAGGCTTTCCGATGGGAATGCAGCTTCCGTCAACACATATCTCATTGGTAGAGCATCGGCCGTTGCAAGAATCAGATCCACCGGGGTTGATGGGGATGCACGTGTTGAGAATGCAGATGTTGTCAGCACCACAGGCGACTCCAGGAGCAGCGCAGTTTTGGGCATCACCCTTTATGTCTGCGCACACCCCTGAGATGCACAGCTTCCCGGGACCACAGTCGATTTGGTTGCACTTGGATGGGTCAGGCTCGACAACACAAGGGACGCAGTCACCATTCGCACAAACCTGGCCAGGTCCGCAAGCCTTGTTACTGCAGTTATCAGGGTCAGGGAACACTTCAACTGGGTAGCAGTCTCCGCGACAGCAAATATTGTTCGATGGGCAGGCCTGGCCCGGGCCGGAGCAATTCTCTGCGTCACCAATGATATCCACGCAGATTCCGTTCATGTACACCTCGCCGTTGCGGCAATAGCCTTCAGTAGGCCAATAGCATGTACCGTCGCCCGGCTGGGGTGTTGGGGCGTCTGGCCTATGCCATCCAACAGGAATACGGTTGTTATCACCTCCTCCGCGGGACCCTCGCCCATCAGAGTTTCCGTCACCATGGTAGCCATGGTCAGACTTTCCACCATCATCATAAGATTCTTTGTTTCCAGGATAACCACCGTTATTATTGGGAGAGCCTTTGCCACTTCGATGACCTCCATCGTCATGCGATTGGTCTTGTCCACCACCATAGTAATCAGGAGATTGATCGAAAGTGTTACATGGGCTCAGAACGGCAAGTGAGGCATCAGAAAGTTCTTCAACGCAGACACCAGAGATGCAAATATGACCAACGTCACAACCATCCTTAGCCGTGCCGCAAGTCGAGTTGTCAGTGCTGATACGGAGAGCTTGGCACTGGTCACCGAACTTAGCCGTCCCCGGAGGACACTCGCTCCCGTTAGAGTCAGTGAAGCCAACATTTTTGCACTTTCCGGACACGCAAATGCTGCTAGGCTTGCAGGTCTCAGACTCCCTTCCGCAGCGTGTTTGGTTGGTGCTAATAACAATGGGCTCACAGACGCTCTCGGTGCATTTGTTGCTGTAGGGGCATTCTTCGTTCTTGGAGCATGGCTTGGCGCTTATGCCCACGGTGATAGGAATACAAGTGCCGTTCAGACAGACTTGTCCGGGGCCACAAGCTTGTTTCTCGGTTCCGCAGAAGGCTGGGTCGTCACCAAGCTTGATGGCTGCGCACACGTCGTTGACACACACTTCAGCAGCCTTACACCTGCCGGATCCGCCACAATTCAGAGGATCGGCGACGATCTCAATGGAGTCACAGACTCCGCCGTTGCACCACTGACCAGAGGCACAAGCAGTCTGCTCATCACCGCATTTCTCGTGGTCGGCGCCGCCAACCTTCAGGGGCTGGCATCTGCCGGCGACACACAGCTCACCGGACTTGCAGCTCTTCCCATCACAATTCCCTGGGTCAAGGGCAATCAAGACGGGCGTGTAGTAGTCACCAACGCAGATCAACTGGTTAGGACATAGATAATTGTCGGGAAGAGCCTCCGCGTGAACAGACGAAAAGGCATGGGCGGCAAACGATGCCAAGATGATGTTGGCTCCAACCATCTTCGACTCTGCGACCTCGATGAGACGATTAGAGTTTGGGTGGAGAGGAGATGAGGTTGATTGGTGAGGAGTTTCGATGATAGCAGAAACATGCGGACGTCGAGGCATCTTATATATGCGGTTTCCCACCTTCTTTCTCTCCAAGGAGGTACCAAGTCATGGAGTTTTCCGTTTCCAAAGCATCTTGTCGATGGCACTGCTGGAATTCCATATCCCGGCAAACTTCCAACCTTGCCGTATCCGTTGCATCGCTTGACTTTCCTGACAAAAGAGGTCTTACTTTCTACAGTTGACTTTCTTGGCGAGTTAGTGATATTGGAAGTCCACACCAAGATCCCAAGGAGCGGCTGAGGTGGGGACCGCAGTTTTCTCCCTGGTATACTTTTATATGTTCTAAGGCTACAAACTAAGCTTCATTCGTCGCCGTTGAGGAGATGGAATGGAGAGGATGGTGGTAGGCTGCTCGTGACTTCTTTCCAGCTCGATTTCTTCCTTGATATTTGTCTGTTTTCAGTCATCTACGTCCTCATCATGACCTAATAACAGTAAAAAGAGACTGTAGTGGCGTAGGTTTAAGCTTTACCTGTCTTCATTCAGCTTCAGGTGAGCTAGAAGAGGGAATCAATAGCTGCGCAAGTTTTCTCCCCCGCATCATTACCTCCCAGTGTCCGCAGCTTGCCCTTCAAGTCGATCTCTTGAATACATGCCTGTGCTCAACGCGTTTCTTGTTTCTCTTTCTTTTCATATTTAAGAGTTATTGTCGACTACGAAACGAGTAAGTCTAAACAGAAACATATAGCGTGGTTTGCGGGAGGGGTAAGTGAGATATTAGCTATTGTCCTAGGCATGTTCCCCGTGATCTAGACCTGGCCATGTCTCCCCACACCAAGGGACAGAATGGGTCCAGATGCAGGTTAATTTGTCTCTTCCACTACATCCACGCGATGTGGATTTATTGAAAGACAAACCAAATAACGGTTTCGCTTGTCATGTAAGTGTCCAGGTCTTGACAGCTCAGGAAGTTGAAACAACATGCAAGGAAGCAGCTTAGCTCAACCTTCATGACATGTGGCGTCCAGTAAAGTCTCGTTAAAACGTACCTACAGCCCCTGGGAAGCTGATAGCTCCATACGCTAGAATCAGCCTCGCTTAAGCTTACAAAGAGCTGAAACCGTTAACGGATTCCAATTAAACTTTACAGTTTCGAATCCCCTCATTAACACAGTAGCGACGCTGCCTGCAGTTAGTTGAAGAGATGGAAACTTTATTATTCCTCTACCCTTCCTCCACAATTCTGGCACAACCTATCAAAGCTTCACCTCACGACATCCGTGGTTCGATGCCATGAGTTCTTCCCCGGGTGCCTTCATCCTCCGCTATGCCATCGGCTCCTGCACGGTCACACCTCTCCTCACCGCGTAATTACGCGTAAACTCAACCCCCTCGCGCGGGCCTTGACCACTGACTCGTCATAATATTCCTTCGTTCCTTTGCGTTGCGAGTTCAGCCGCGTGATGCCCTCCCGCCTCGTCGCTAGACGGCTGGAAAGCACATGACCGTGACGTTTGCTACTTGATTGACCCCCAATCATAGACGTACCATCTCAGCCACTGTCTGCCTTCAAGGCGGTCGAGCAATTTCCACTACCTCCCTTAGGTCTAGAACTGGTGAGATCTCATTCCGGCGGTGCTAACTAAGAGACGATCCGGAGGTGACGAGATGAGGTAGCATAGTAGCCATGAAAGTGCGGTCGGGCTTGCACTCTTCATTGCCTCGTTGCGGATTAAGGCTTTTTCCTAAAGCCGCAAGGGATAATTTCAATAGCAGGATCGTAATACATCAGGCTTGCTAAAACTCTTGCAACTAAAGATTAGGAATTGGAAATATATTACATACATATTCTCTCGCGAAAATCAACAATCCATTTGCCGCCCTCATTAATTCTTTATGAGTATCTTTTCTTCACTTTTTCCATGCTTGACTTCCTATAGTATCCTGGAATAATACATCGACAAACGTATTGTGGCTTCTGCCTCCGGTCTGGATTCCTATCGGTGACCTCGATCTCACTGGACTGTCTGTCGCTTTGTCATTATTTCTCGACTGCAGCTCAATATTCGACGAGGCTGATATGTGACTCGTGATTGCCATGCTATTCACGGGGTCCTGCAGCTCCCGCCTTTGATTATTGCTTTCTTCGACGTTAATTCTGATCTCTTGCAACACCATGATGCCTCCAAATGACGGTGCGGCCAAGTTTGGATCTCGAACCACGTCTTGCGAAGTCTCTTTCTGCCGCATGTCGCCATGCTGAGATCTTGTACTGCCTGCCGTGGATTGGTATATATTTATTGTCGAGGCCGAGCCTGATCCAGTCGAGCTCGACGAGAGCCGCCGCATTGATTTTCTTCTCAGCACTTGCTCCTCGTCCCCTTCTACCACTTCGCTGTGTATTTGTATGCTTTTTTTCCTGAGTTTAGCAAGAACGGTGTGGCCAATTGGTTCTCGGCGTCGTTCCTCGCTCAGTGAAACTTGACCGAACATGGATCCAAATTCACCGTGTACGCTGTGAACGAATGCGAGTTGAGATTCCTGCATCTGAACCAGTTGGTGTGTTTTGAAAAGGTTGAGTGGGATGTACTCATAATCTGGGTTATTGACAATGGAATGAATAGGTGCAATAATCCGGAATATGAGCATTGTGTCAAGGGTCGATCGGTCGTATGGCCCGCCGGGTAAGTTAATCATTTCGGCGGAGAGAATCGCCTCATCCATAAGAGGGTCTTGGATTGATGCGCGTAGTGTATTGATCCCGGCCCGGAGCTGGTCAATAAATGTAATCTCTCTTTGGGTTGACATCTTGAGCTCCTCCAGAGCTCGCAATATAGCAACGGTCGACATTCCCTTGAATCGGCTCACAATGGCAATCTGCCACGACTCGAGCTTAGAATTAGACAGAGTGACTGAAGGGAGGATGTTGCGTTCAGAGGTCTTGACAAGGACATCAAAACCAGACGTATTAACGCGAGCTCTGATGGCGAAAAAGCCCACACGGGCATAAGTGCTCGTTTCCTTGTCCTGGCTAACGTACTCGGCCATTTGATGCAGCTTGCCACTGACCCCAAGCGACTTGATTTGCATTCGAGAGGCAATAATTCCGCTGACATGCTCTACCTCCGCGAAACGATAGCCAGCCATAGCGAATCTTTCATCGTCACGCTCATTCTCGATGCAGCTGACAAGAAACATCAGTGAGCCTTTTCCGACTTGCCGTTCGAATGCCGCCGCCTTTTCATGTAAGTTTTGTCTAAACTTGGTTGAGATGCGGCTCGCCGGTTCGTTGTAAGGCTGTAATTCCAAGGTAGAAGTCATTGGACGGCCAGTTGGTAGGATCTCGTCCCAGAGGATACCAGCGGATGAAACGTCCCCGCGGAGACGTTCGGCGAGTCTCATAGCAGCTAGGCAGAATTTGCTTCGAAAGAGGATACCGTCTTCTTCAGTAGGCGAGACGTTGTTAATCATTCTGAGCTCTTTCTGGGCGGCATATTGCTTCATAAGACGGGAGAGGCTGGTCCAGTTCCTGGTGACCTGGAACATCCACAGGAAGTAAGGGTGAGCGACGGTTAAAGGCTGCTTGTCACTCTATATTCTCATTAGGAATAGTCATACTATAATACTGTATCTTTAGACCACTTACTGTTGGGATGAACGAGTCGGTGATAATAGTACTAGGGACAAGGCCGTCTGCATCAACCAGGATCATGCCCTGCTTGTTGAAGACAGCAGCAGCGAGGGTTATCTTTTGTGCTCTGCGGGCGGACTGGCTCATCTTCCTTGCTGTGAAGATTGCTAGACCAGCAATGATCAGACACGAGCCTACGGCCTATAGATGAAGCAGATTAGCGAGTTGGCCTGTCGATCCATGAGCTTCGCAGGATAGGAGAAACGAACCAGGCAAATAACAACAATAGCAGTCGCATCCTGTGACATCTCTTCACCGCCGCCAGCCTTGATGGAGATGAGAGTATACTGTGTGCCAAATGCCGCACACCAATGCATGCCGGAGACAGCACCTGCAAGCACCAGGGCCGAGAGGAGCCTCTTCCACCATGAATTAGCCCAGGTAGACCGAAAGATAAAGAAAGCCGAGAGCGCAATGATGCTCGCCGCGATGGCAATAATCGCCGACCCGGCAATAAAGCCTATCTTATAGCTGCAGGTATAGTTCTCGATTGAAGCATTGCCGAGATAGTGCATACCGCATATCGCGGAGCCACAGAGGAAACCACCAAGCGAGACTCGAATCCATGACACAGTATTACTAGTACCGATAGTAATAAAGGCAATCAGTAGGACAAGAATAGGGACGAAGAACGAGATAACGGTGAAGAGGGTTGAGAAGCTGATCTGTAATTCTGGTTCGCCGCTTCCGAGGTAGATCGCTTTGTTGCCGACAAAGTGCATGGACCAGATGGACACGCCTCCCATTGTCATAGCAGCACCGACAAGTAGAGCGCTATATCAACGAGGTCACTATCAGCAACGATCTATGGAAGGAGGTGGCTTGTTAAGACAGAAGGGGAGAGGGCTACTGACTTATTGAAGATGCCCTTGAACCCTGTTCGACGGTTAATCAACTCGAGGGTCGAACCTGCGCCAATAAGACTAACAGTATAGCTAAGCACAACGAAGCCGGCGATGAACCGTCGAGGGACCACGCGGCCCTCGTAGTTGTCCAACAGCTCATCTAGAGTTGACATTATTACATTCGAAAGTAACGACGGTAGCTTTGGCGATGGCAGGGATGACGGGGACTATAATTAATAAACCAGACATGAGAGTGGTAAATCAGTAATATATCGATGAATATATATTATAAAGGTTGATGGGTTCTCCTCTCTTGTCGAAAAACTTGAAGCAGAGAAGACTTAATCCATCGCTATTATAGACTGTCAATGTCAACGTAAGAAGTGCAGAAGCTAGTGAGAGACTATTGAAGAAACACAAGGTCGAGAACAGGGTACACGTGGACCCCAAAAAGAAGACCCCTGACGCAAGTCAACTACGAGTAGACAAATCTGGTAGATATCCGGATCACCGTATCGCTTTTGTAGGTAATCCTAGTCGGCTATGACTAGCTAGTAAATGCTTGAGTAGAATGACTGTATTTCCTTCAGTGCTTCGGTTATTTCCGTGGCAATTCTTGTCGGTCAAGACTCAAATAAACGGATTTATACAGCTAGAATTGTGAGCAGGGCCACTCCATAGACACCACAGATGAGCCGCCCTATCATGATTATTTTGATGAAAGCGACAAAATAACCAGATATCATCACACCCTTGCAATGTATCACCGTAACATTTCCATGAGGCATCGGGGGAGAGATGGGTCTAAAATATTACCCCGATCTTAGCATCATGCAGAGTTGACTGATGCCATCTTTAAAGACCCTGGCCTACCTGGTAAATCAAGTGGGCTATTTACCCTGAGAACGACATGGGTCAGGTCTACTGTTTGCCTGTCAGCTAAGAAAACTAGACATGGGTTTGGTATCTCCGGTTATGCCATCGAGGATATCCACGTACCTACATGGATCGCGCATCCCGTGCACACACTTGGCGCTTCATTCCCACATGCTCACTACAATGAGTACAGGCCTTTCAAATAACTCAAGGGAGTGGATAGCCTTTGCTCTCCGAAGATCGTAAATACCTTTTGTCTCTTAAAAAAACTGACCAAACTGAGGCCCTGATTTCCTCGCTTGCCGGCCGGAGCATGCCAATTTCTGATAGGAGTGGAGCATGTAAAACAAGCCTACACTATTGAAACTCAATCGGGCAATCAAGGGGGCTAGTACGACGTCTTCAGCTCCAGCTGAAGCAGCTCGGTTCGCTTTCAGTGAGGCATTTGATCGAGATGGATCTTAATCACAACTCTTGGCCCTCCCTTTTCCGTATTTATTTGTATTCTTTGCTTTTATTATGTCCGTTCTTTTGGTAGAACAGACATCATGAAATACTACCGCTACCCTACTTGCCACATGCTCGGTTTGGTTTGAACAATGCCCCATGTGGCAGGGGAGAAAGAACCATGCAGAGCTGAAGGTGAAGCAGCTGGAATGCTGGTAGTGGATATCACTACAGCTCACTGAGGGATTTGCACCATCCCTTTATGAGAGTAGAGCCATTTCGGTCGCGGTTCGCCACAAAACACGTTAGACATACCGGCTCCACGTGGCTTGATGAGATCGTACGTGCCTCAAAAGCCTCGTGGGCTAAGCGAGGCTGCCCCGCTAGAATTTTAATACGTAAGGGAGTTTCGGGTAGGTAGGTTGGTTGACATCAGAAGCTGTATCGAGTTGCTGTCGTAGCTTAAGAGTTCACTCATTTTGCGCGCCGCGACAGAATATCACCGAAGGGATGATATGCGCTCCAACAATCAACAACATAATTCATTCAAGCCAAAAAGGTCTATGGCGTTCAACTTCAGTATTGATCCCTGTATCACCCGTTAACGAATCGCTGTAGGAATGCTTTTGTCTACTTGACTCCCTTGGGACAGAAGGACAGACAACCTTACGAAGGTTTGACACCTTGACATGAGCCACACCGGGTATTATATCACGAACTACCTTATTCATTGTGTTGAGTTGTCGGACTCTGGCAGTTTCCATTGCTGTTGAACTTTATTTCTCTTACGTATATCACGAACAGCGAAACCAACCGCCAACAACAATGATGACTGTATTTAGTGGCATATCAAAACAATTCAGAATGGAAAGATGAGCAATTACATCCCCTTGATGGAATACCGGATCATGAGCAATCAATTGCATTGGGTTAAGAAAAAAAAACAGTACTTTTAGATCGCGCTATCTTAAATATCAATACCGTCAACAACTTCCATCTTAATGATACCCTGTTCTGCCAGATCCTTCATGTCATCAAACTTGGTCTTCGTCTTAAACAATTTTCATACCCAGCTCCCCAAGCATCCATCCTGATGCATCAAAACTCCCTCATGGATAGGTTCGAGTCCGCAGGAGACTCCTAGTTCACGGCTATGACGCGATGAAGTATTCTCCAGATAGATTGCTCATTCTGTTAATTGTTTTCCACCATTGCCTGAACCTCCATGCAATCGTCATGGCTCAGAATATGCTCCAACTCTTGAGATGCGGCATCCAATGTGTAATCCCCTAGAGTAGGGTACATACCAGGGTGGAAGACCTTCTGAGTCTCGCCCTTCTCCAGCTCTGCTATGTGAGCCTTACAGGCTCGAACATAAGCCGATATTTTGTCCACATCCACGCAGCCTTGATGTTCGTACCATTTCCGTACCATCAGTCCCCATTTTCCGTCACTCAGACGAAACTTGCCGGAATCGAAAAGATCCTGCTGACTGATCATGGAGCGAAAGCAGGGGACGTGATAATAGTACTTCGAGAGGACCCCATTGCCGTATGGAAAAAGATTGGTACCATAAACACAAATCCGGTACTCATCCTTGATTTTGTTAGTCTGCTTCATGTCAGGTTCAAAGTGGAGGCAGTCCTCCCCAGCACGGCACTTGGCTCTGCCGGAAAGAGACGCTTGTAAATAGACAAACGCGCTGGCTGTCTCCTGGATCTTTTCCCACAGCATTTCACCCTTCTTCGCCAGAGATTCAGCGCGGGACTTTGTCGAGGTAGATGCAGAAGCGGGAGCAAGGTCAGCGTCCGGAGCCACTGGCTTCTCGTCCAAATAGCTTGGTGCCGGTTCTGTTGCGGCCATGGTGTCTAGTTTTGTCGTAGATTGGGAAATGCGGTTCAATTCAATGAAGAGACTCCTTGTGATATGGAACCAGAGTAAATCTTAGAAGGGTAGATGCGAACGCACTTATTTATACGCTCGAGAATGGCTGGTGGCAATGGTGGAAGACACGTGCGTCTGAGAAGGTGCTCGCTTGAACTGCGAGTCTTTGTATGAAAAGTAAATGAACAAACAAAGTGCTAGGCTTCTGCCAGATAGAGGCTTACGAGTTTTTTCGGCAAAGAGTTTTGACCTGAGAAATCAGGTTTGATCTGAGAAACCAGGGTAGCACGAATAGAGCTGAGGTACAAAGGCAATCACGTGCACGCAGAAACTTCTGGAGTTCGATTCTGCGATTCCCTTGTAATCAATTCCATTTTCTACTTCTGTAACCACGTCCTAGCAGTTATAGGAGAATGATTGAGATAGAACCAGATCGTACGTTCCTAGTTATACAGCTGGCTGTGTTGTATATCATTCTTCAAAAGTACATGTAAATAAAAAAGACACCGGACATTCACTTCTTGATATTAGGTATCCAGGATATGAAAATAAGGGACGAGAGAGTGAGAATATTAAGAATATAAAGGCGAAGTTGATATGTTCGAATCTTTTGGTATAGAACAACCAACTCTGACAAAAGGCGCAAGATTACACCAAATCACTTATTGAACACTGCTCTACCCAAATACGATATTCTCTCTTCTCTATCCAATCTCCAAATTAACTATTCTGCACACTTCGTGGTGACATCCAGGTTCAAATAGATTCGGCAAGGAGGGTAGCCATGGGCATTGACACAAAGGGTACGACGGATACGCACGCAGAGTTGGTGGACTGGCACAGCAATTGAAGCTTTGATATCAAATCAGCCGCGGTCACTCTCTACCTGTGCTGGAGAGACATCGTATTGTTGAAGACGAGCAAGGTCTGAGCTTAGCTGCGTGGATAGCGATAGCGATCCCGCTTTGCCAGCAGGGGACACAATTGGCAAGGATCGAGATTCCACTCAGCAGCGGGTTCGAGCTTGCGCACCCGTAAGGTTACTGACTCGTACGCCCAATCGTTTGCTGACGAGATACGAATCATCTGATGCTTTAGGTACTCAGGAATATCCCCGCAGGGCCTCATGCACGAAGGCACGAGTGCGGCATTACAAAGGATGCTGCTTACCAACCCCGTGCTGTGCTTGTACCGTGGGTAAATTTGCTAATAGCGGTTAGTCTTAGTGCTAACTGTAGATCCCCGGTATGGGGTCTTGGGTTATTGAGATATCTGGTGGAGGTGATTTTTCAATTCGGCACCGGATGTCATCATTTTTTGGGACTTTGAGTTCGAGGAGAAAATCATTTCCGGGAACAGAGGATAAAATAGCTTATAAAGTACAAAGTAAGCATCATGGAGCTCATGTGGGTAGCTGTTCATGCGCATATCAACATGTACATGTATATCGCGACCCGTGCACATACAGATCGCTTGACCGACCAGATAGCCGCGGCCCCCCTGCCCGATCTGTAACGGCGAACCGCTGTACAAGCTACTATATATTACTTCCCCTCATTCTCGAGTTTATGTTCTGGCTCCTCGCATCTTGTCTTCCTCGGCTTCTTTGAGATTTCTGGGAAATATCTTTGAGTACGCCCTAACGCGTCCATTCAATCCATCATGAGTACTATTCAGCTTAAGGGATTTGGGGGAAAGTTGGTGCCAGGTACATTGACGTCAGGCTCGTTTGATTATAAGAAGCTGAGCTAACCACATTCTCTAGTTGAAACCGGTCTATTCATCAACAATGAGTTCCGGCCAGCCCTCAGTGGCAAGGTTCTGGACATTGTCAATCCGACAACTGGTGAAAAACTGGCTACAGTATCGGCAGCCCAGCCCGACGACGTCGATCTCGCTGTCTCTGCAGCCCAGGCGGCCTTCACCAATGGCTGGAAGGACATCCTTCCTGCGAAGCGTGGCGAGCTCCTCCACAAGCTGGCAACCCTGATCGAACGCGACACAGACGAATTCGCCAGTATCGAGGCCCTCGATGTCGGGGTCCTGTTCGGTGCATCCAAACACATGCACGTCCCCCAGGCGACCGAGACGCTACGGTACTTTGCTGGTTGGGCTGACAAGATCACCGGCCAGTTGCTGAACATTCCTCAAGGATATGCCTACACCCGACGTGAGCCTTTGGGAGTTTGCGCAGCCGTCGTCCCTTGGAATGCGCCGTTGTGAGTTGACTTTCGCTTTCGCCCTCTGACGATCTATACTTGCCAAGTAAAATTTCCAGCTCCTAATTGAAGTTGCTTATAGAATGATTACCATCTGGAAGCTCGCCCCAGCCATTGCTGCCGGCAACACACTCATCATTAAGACTCCAGAGATTGCTCCTCTCTACGCCCAGAAGCTGGCATCTTTGGTCAAGGAAGCCGGCTTCCCTCCTGGTGTCATCAACATTCTCTGCGGAGAGGGCCATGTCGCCGGCCAAGCTCTAGCTGAGCACCACGGAGTGAAGAAGATCGCTTTCACAGGTAGCGGCGTTGCTGGTCGAAAGATCCTCAAGGCCTCCGCCGACTCCAACTTCAAAAAGGTCACCCTCGAGCTCGGCGGCAAGGGACCTTCGATTGTGTTTCCCGACGCGGATATTGAGAACGCGCTGTTTTGGACCACGACTGGTTTCACCGCCAACAACGGCCAAATCTGTGCCGCTGGTACGCGCATCTATGTCCATTCGTCCATTTACGATTCTTTCTTGAAAGCATTTGCGGAGCGAATTATCAGCACAGCCATCGGAGACCCTCTCCAGGCCGAGACCACAAAGGGTCCTGTCGTCAGCAAGAGGCAGAGGGACCAGATTCAATCATTCCTCGACTACGCCAAGGAGTCCAACCTTAAGGCTGTCGGCGACGGACAAGATCAGAGTCTGCCGGAAGGCAATGGGTATTTCATCCCTAATGTGGCATTTCAAGATGTGCCGGATGATTCTCGCATCATGCGAGAAGAGATTTTCGGCCCTGTCGCGGTGAGTCACAATAACTTGATGCCAATTTAATTGATATCAACCAACTAACTTATAAACTAGGCTATTGCCAAATTCGACACGGAGGATGAGGTTGTTCAAAGGGCAAACGACACCGTGTACGGTCTTGCTGCCGCCATTTTCACAAATGATATCCACCGAGCAGACCGGGTCACGGCGGCTCTTGAAAGCGGAATGGTCACTGTAAACTCTTGGGGCGCTCTGAACGCCAACACGCCGTTTGGTGGGTGGAAGCAGTCGGGTTTCGGTCGAGATATGGGCGAGGAGGCTCTGGATTCATGGCTGGTCACAAAGACGGTAAAGCACAATATTCTTCCCGCAAAGTAGTGTATAGCTAGTCTGGTTTATATGACGTCTGTCGCCATGATATCATTCTTTTGTCCCAGTTGGGTTTTGCCTTCAGCACCATTTCCGGTTTCCTCGTCGGTGTGCTTGGTTTAGTATCTTGCTTTCGTCCATTCCCCTCCCTTTGCTCTCTCATTGAAATTCATTTCCTCTTGCCTTTTTCCTCTTACCAACAGTTCAATCACCAATTGCTTTCCATGCGCTCTTCAGTCGCTGAGGCGGTCTGCTTAATAACCAATGTTTGGATCGTCATAGCCATAATTGCCGTTGTCATCCTCATCTGCTCGATCTAATCAGCGTCTCCATATATACGTTTCAATTATCCAGAATACATACCTTTAATCCTCACTACTTTCTGCTTCCCTCTTGACTTCTTTGGCTTATCCTTTTCAGCCTTCTCAGAGACGACGAGAGCGCCAGACGCGTCCTGAAATGTGGCTGCCCCCATGACATAGTCGGGGTTGGAGACGACCAGAAACTTCAACGGAGCTCTTTTATTGTCGTCAATCACAGGGTCAAACTTGACGAGTTCCCCGTTAATAGAGATGCGAAATTCAGCTGCGCTACGGCGAAGCATCGAAGCGATTTCTGGCTCCGCTGTGACGAACGCCTGCCACGCCTTTGGCAGAGCATCCTCGCTGTACCCAGGCCGTGTCATGAGAGCACCCAGATATTGCGCCACGGTCGGTCCCCTGTGTTTATCTTTCAGCCCTTCCTTGCAAGCGCTGACGAAGGATCGATAGAATCCATCGTTCTTGGAGAGGTAGTCGGCACTGCTGTCGGTGGTGCCGCTCTTGGATGCCATGATTCCGAGTCTGAATGAGTCTTAGGTGCGGAACCCGGCCTTTTAATGCCCGTAAGCTCGGCTGAAGCTCGAAGAATGAAACTTCCTTGCTTCAGATTTTGGCTGTTTTTGTCTTGGAAGGCTGGTGTGAATCCTTTTGATTTGAGATACGGTAATGACGATTCTGGAGAAGCAGAAGAGCCTACCGTCATTTGGAGACGGTCAGGAGTTGAGTGTCGGTATGGTATGTTGGGATCGACTGTTGAAAAAAGCAAATTTTGATGAATTTCGGAGAGAGGAAGCCGAGTTTGGTGCGCTGAGGAATTGCTGGGCGAGGAGTTGCCCAGAAATGGTGATGAACAGAACGTGGGTTCCTCCACGCTTTACCAAGTCTTTCGTAGGCCTTGCACCAACGGCAACCAGCTCTACACATTGACACTTTGGGCAAACACAACCATCAAGGTTCATCCAGAGCCAAACATCACGCGTTTGGGGAGAGATATGGAATATGAAACGTGCAGTAACGGGCTCACTGGTGATCACGTATCGCGCGTGGTTCCCCAAAATTTCTACTGCAAGCCACCGAACCCAAGCCAAGCCATATTCCCCCACACCATTGGTGTACATAAAAGTTGAGCTCTACTTCTGGGCCATTAGAAAAGAATACTTATTCTAGCATCTTGCATATTATTCTAAATTGTTGCTTGCTCTGCCTTTGGTCTAGCCTACCCTGTAGACTTGACCCTGGAGCTTACCCTCCATGATCTCTAGGAGAACCACACTCTTGACTCTTTTCTCCGTATCCAGCAATTGTAGAACTTTGTTTGGTGGGTGATATTGTAATTCCGCCATGTTTAGCTATCCTTGTGAACAAACTCGGTGGTTGCACTGATTACCTATGTACAATTACTACACGGGACTGCTTCATGCTAACCCCTCTTCCCAACATCAACTGTTGGCACAAACAAGAAAAGTAGACAAATAAGCAAGGTGGAAAGATTTCCAAGCTACGTTCATCCATCCAATAGCTACCACCTATGAGATTGAGTAAGCTAAAGCGGTTCACGAATATTGATGCTATCGTTGATGGTCATGAGAAGGGTTTTTTTTGCTTGAATGACCCTTGTCACGCACATGTTACATCTTCTACACATGATTAGGCAGGTAGGTCTCGTGCGAGAATAACCTATGTTCAGACTCCCTGTGAGTATGTGGGATGAGAATAGCCATGCATACGCAGATGTCCGATGCCCATACAGGCCTGAATCTTGCCACCTTCCTTGTCTGGTGTTGCTTCAGATCCACTCGTTCTTTTCGGTTTCTGGCAGGCTTCTTTGGTGCCTGGTGCCTGGGATGATGGCCAATAGCGCAGACCAGGCTGGACCTGAGTGGCGGCTGATGGAGGGGAAACAATAGCTTCGACCGCCAGCGGACATGATTGCGCAGAACGGCGTGAGTGTGAGTGGAACAACACCAGGGGCTGCGTAGGAGAGTTGCGCCACCCGGTGTTGCCTCCGGGTGGACGCGAAAGTACCGCGTATTCAAAGACCTTGTTGAGCATTATACATTACTGTTTCTATCCAGGCTTCTCTGAATTGGTGACAGATCTACGTGAATGATGGGGAAATAGGACTGGGAGCGCTCTATATGGAAGGCCCCGTTTGCTGGGTTATGACGAGCTGGGAATGTACCTGCTGCTCACGAGATTGGGGGACTAGGCTAAACGATGGAAGGATCGGGTAGTCGGATCTTACAGACTGAAGATGGTAAGCTTTTCAGTGACGGTTGGTGATGTGTGGAGATCAGAGAACGCAACCCCTGACTTAGTGTGCCACTTAGTCGATGGTTGCGGCACAGATATCCGACTCCTGGGCATTTTCTCTGGCAAAGAGCGCTCTGAGAGATGAGTCCGGGTGGTCGGCTAATGATAGGGTGAGAGAAAGGGGGCAAGTTGCATTGGTAGGGCACATAACGCGTAAAATGTGATGTTGGTTTCCATTGGGAAGCACATCATTGTGTTCTTAAACCGTGTCAATTGGATGCTCAAAAGCGGAACCCCTGATTGTTCTCCATCTTTGTAAGCCCACTACCCCTGAGGAGCAACTGAGAGGTTGGGCTACTTATGTACAGCTGTTATGATCATGGTTTGACACCCCGTGTTGTGTTATTGTCGTGTTGCTGCTGGATGCTGGACCTTTGCGGGATGAAATCTGCTTGGTTGATAGACCAGTTCCAATTGCAACGAGCGACGTTGACGATAGAACAATTCTCGGCGTGCCGGGCTGGCTTCCGTTCTAACCGTAATCCGTAAGATTTTTTCTAGTCAACGGCTGCTAAGAAACGGCGCTCCATTTGGTTCTTTGTAGCAATCCTTGCACACGTGCACCCTGTCAAAGGAACGTCGTCAATTTGTCTCGATCGAAGCCCACGTGCTGGCTGTCGTGCTTCTAAATGGGCAAAATGAAAGAAGTTGTTCTTGAATTCCCATTGCTAGAATTCCATACCTGGAAATGTAATGCAATGTATTAAATGAGCCGCATCCTGGTGGCACGCAAGACCTCCATGTCTCGGTTTCTTGCTTTGTTTCGGCTGGGGCCATTCAAGTCCAGTCCAGACGACGATATTCGGCCAAGATGGCGGTCCTGACGGATTACACCTATGTCTTTGCACTGGGAACAATCTTTGCTCTCCTCGAGGCATTCAACAATGGAGCCAGTGGGTTTCTCCTTCTCCTGAATATCCCCTTCGTCCCGGCTGATCGTGCTCGCGTGTGCTAGATGATGTCGCAAATGCTTGGGCCACCAGTGTTTCCTCACGTTCCATTTCGTACCGATGGGCAATGATGGCCTGCCTTGTCTTCGAGATGCTGGGCGCCTTGACCGTTGGTGCCAGAACCGCCTCGACAATCAAGAACGGCATTATCGACGCCGATTCGTTCAGAGACAACGCAGGTGTTCAGCTCTTGGCTTTTGCCTGTGCCGCTGCCGGCGCTGGTATCTGGGTCATGTACTGCTCCCGTAACTCTATCACTGTTTCATCCACGTATTCCCTTGTATCATCTTTGGTTGGTGTCGGCATTGCTACTGTCGGTGTCAAGGGTGTGCGTTGGGGCTGGTATGATGGTAATGGTATTGGTGCCATCTTTGCAGGCTTGCTTATGGCACCAGTCTGCTCAGCAGCCTTTGGAGCAATCATCTTCATGCTTATCAAGGTCACTGTACATATGCGTACGAATTGTGTTGCCTGGGCTGTGTGGACCTCACCTTTCTTTTTCCTTATTGCAGGCACAATCTGTACTCTCAGTGTCGTGTATAAGGGATCCCCTAAGCTCGGACTGGACCAGAAGCCTGCGTGGTTCATTGCCGCGGTAACCCGTCAGTTTCCCTAACCTATTTTGCAAGGAGTATGATGCTGACTTTTGTATTAGTCGGTGTTGGTTTTGGCTTGTGCCTGCTTTCGACACTCTTCTTCCTCCCGTTTGTCCACGCCAGGGTGATGAAAAAGGATTACACCCTTAGGTGGTGGCATATTGTCCAGGGACCACTCCTTTTCAGGCGTGTGCCTCCGCCCGATGCGTATGCTGCCCGTATCCCAAATTATGCCGTCGTTCAGCATCCCAGTTCCGAGTCCGAGTCCGTCCGTGAGCTGAAAGTTCTCAGCCCGGATCTCCGCAACCCTGATCGCATCACCCCATCCGCTTATAACCCCGAAGCGGCCGACTATGACAAGATGTCAATTCGCTCTGAAATTGTTCCCGTCACCCAGCAGCGGTACCGCAAGCTGATAAAGAATGCTGAAGAACGTCATCACGCCAACCTCCGACGAAAGAACAGCCCGTTGGGGTGGGCCATGCGTGTTCTCCATGATAACCCTATGGGCGCAGGATCCATCCACGAGTTCGAGAATCTCAAGATTGTACTTAAACGAATTCCTGCGATGATCGTTGTTGGCCTATTCTACGGAGCCGAGTATGACATTCACACGGCTCAGATCGGAATTGAAGGTACACCTGACGGACTTCGTATGTCTCGGGTCTACTCTCAGGCTACCAAGTACCCCAACCAGGTTGAATACCTCTATTCTTTTATTCAAATTATTACTGCCTGTACAGCCTCATTTGCCCACGGCGCTAATGACGTTGGTAACGCTGTTGGCGTTTGGGCTGGTATGTATGCGGCTTGGTCAACTGGTAAGCCAGCAGCTGCGAAGGAGTCAGTCCCTCTATGGCAGATTGCTGTCATTGCATTGACTCTCTGCTTTGGTTTCATCACCTACGGTTATAACATCATGAAAGGTATGTATCATCCACTGAACTGGCTCGGACTTGCGAGGCTAATTGTTTTCATAGTAATGGGTAACAAGATCACATATCACTCTCCTTCGCGCGGTTCCTCCATGGAGATGGGCGCTGCTATCACTGTCATGGTCTTCTCTCAATATAAGCTGCGTAAGTACCTGTCCTCGATCCACTGTTCGACACGCTTCTGACAACTAATATAGCTGTGTCTACTACTATGTGCATTACGGGCGCCACTGTTGGTGTTGGTCTTTGTAATGGCACTCTCAAGGCCGTCAATTGGAATCGTGTTGGCCTTGTTATACTATCCTGGTTTTTCACTGTTCCCTGTGCTGGCGTTATTGGAGGTGTTTTGATGGGTCTTGCCCTTAATACTCCTCACTTCTAGAATAGAATGATACCCAGAGGTTGTGTGAATGGCCTTGTTGTTAGAAAGTTATGTGTTCCTAGTCAAATGTTGACAATCCGTGCCTGTATATTCAAGGTCAATTAGTTTCTTACTACGTCCATAGATTTCTCAATTTCAATATATATACGATACAAGTCAAACGTTTCATTCTCGCAACGAGGAAATGTGCAAAGATACCTGCAGTGTTGAAAATTTTTAGACTCCAATGTCCGTTCACAGGTGGTTCCATGACTCATCATATTGAGATAGCTAGGTATAAGTAACCAAGTCTGGAACATTGAGTGTCGGTTGGTAAAGGAACTCGTTCTCGACCTCGTATGCCGACACAGGATGAGCACAAGCTGATTCAACCTACCAAACAAATCTATCTTTGTTCACCTGAGACACCGAGTACAGCTAGCAATCATCTCCCCTTCCCCACCGCTAGCATAATGTGCTTAGCCTGTGATGGGCTGCATAAGGATGTTGAAGAGCTAGTTATGATGGAAAGATAATTAACACAGGTTGTTCTTGTGGGAGTAACAGAGGCAGGACAGCTCACTTACCCATTCTTCAAGACCTTCCTCATTATCCCTTAGATCTGCAAATCTTTCATTCAGGCGCTCTGTTGAAAATGTCAGCCGTTGAGAGGAAGATCGCCTTGTCTTTTGACAAGAGGAAACGCCGAGGAGCATACCGGATGTTCGATAAAGAACGCGGTCGATAGCCGGATCACCACTGAGAGAGTCTAGGAAAGCATCTGCTTCGGGGCTATTGCCGACTTGGCTGATAAGAAACATTGCGGCTACATCATCATTGTCAGACTTCTCCCTAATGGCTCTCGCCGTGGTAAAAGACGACTCACATTCTTGTGGGTACTGCTTCTCTTCAAGCCGTCTTCCACAGTTCTCGATAGCCTTCTTGAACGTATCCTGGGGCTCCGGGTTTGGCTCCCCGTCTGTGATTGTGAGGACGAGGAAGGGCCGCTCAAGAGCACCGCCAGATTTGTCCAGATCAGCGTAAATCATAGGCTCAAGGATTTTGTTTGTCAAGTTGGTCCCAATATTGGTTCCACCATTGGGGTTGAATTGGAGCAATTGATTGATTTGGTCGGCGTTCAAGTCTTGACCGGTTGTACTACTGTTGATGAAACGGACATGGGCACCCTTACCGTCAGGAACGAGCCGAGTAGCGATGCTGGCCATGCGCTGGACAAGGCTTCTCATGCCATCCATGCGAGTACCAATCACATTGCCACTGCCGTCCTGAATATCGGCTTCCATAGAGCCGCTGTCATCTACAGAATGTTAGGTTCAACTATTTCTCGAATAGCATGGATTTCTAACGAACCGCAATAAAATACTGGCTGGTAAAGAGCGAGTCTCACAAGACCTTTGATCTGCTCGGGCTTCTTCAGATGGTTTCTTGGGTCATCTTTCAGCTCAATGGCCTTCTCGGCCACTTTATTGAGATAGTCGTTTCCGGGAGCAAAGAACTGCCCCAGATCGCTATCCTTCACATACTGATCAATTTCCCGTTTAAAGTCATCGGCCGTTGTAGGCTCCCCTATTTGCTATTTCTTGGTCAATATCGCTGGTTGTCGCAAGAGCTTTAGGGTGACATACCCTAGCAAGATCCTGATCGGGCGCAGTGTTTCCGATTTGGTACAAGTTGGATACAACTCCTTTGGCGACATCCTTGAGAATGCCACTGTTTACATACGCCAGAATGAACAGCACGAAGTTCACAAGCAGGTTGATAAGCTCAGCAGTTCCTGCTTGCTGCTGACCAGGCGATGCTGCTCTCTGTATGTCTGGGTTGCCAGACATTTGAGCCATCGACTTGGCAGTCTGTCCTTTGTCATTCTGTGCTTGTAGCGACGCTCCAGCATCAATCAGCATGTTGACGACCACCGGGTCCTTGGCCCGTGTGATGGCAACCATGAGGGGAGTCTCATTGTCGCACTGGGGGTCAGTCTCGTCCACGTTTACGTGACGGTTCAGTATAAGGCGCACGATCTCAGCGCGGTTTTTTCTGGCGTTGGCAGCTATGTAGAGAGGGGTCATTCCGTAGCTTTTTTTAGACGGAGAGGCGCCATTGTTGAGGAGCAGTTCAACAACCGTTTGATGGCCGGCTTTGGCGGCAGCTGAAAGCGGCGTGAATCCGGTTCCAGATACATCTATTTCATTGATGTCAACTCCCTGTTGCAGGTACCCTGCTAGTTTTGCAGAAGTAAGTGTGCCTGCCCTGGCTTCACTATGGATGGTGGCCATGTTGAGCAAATTTTGGGAACGGTGGAAAAGTAGAACGATGGGAAGCAATTAGAACGTATGATACTGCTGAATAGAAGCACAGCAATGAATTTTGCGATGAATATATGTGTAGACTAAGCTCCTGTCCCAAGATAATCAAGGACTTTAGTTAAGAAGAAGTAATACTAGATAGGCGCTTATACTTGGGACTTCACGGTTGGTGTACGTGTATCAAAACTAATCCAGGTAGGCTCACATGATAACTAATGCGTAAAATGTCTGACGGCAGATATTGGTAGAAAGATTTGCGGCATATTGCGTCCCAAAAGGGTATATTCAGGCAGCCTCTTGGCAGCTGAGCACACACACCACGTATCAGCGAGGTTGAGGTTGCATTCCAGCTGGCTGCAAAAACGCCTCTGTGAGACCTTGACGTGCTACTTTGCTACTCAACTGATGATCACATGTTTTGGTCTTTTAAGCGAGCTCCAAGCTGGCCAATTTGGAATATCCGGCAGCTTATCCCACAATGTCGAACGAGTGTATGCTACCTACCAATACATCATTACGTTGAAAACTTGGATTGGTGAGGTATGCATCACTATCTTAATTAGACCTAGCTCCTTTTTTTAAGTAAGATTATCGGCTTCATGCAAATGTTATTATGAGGGAAGCAAGGATGACAAATAACACTACATGAAAGGAGACTGGTGATAGAGGTGAGAGTGCTTGAACTTGCTGCTCACCCACCAACACCCATCATTGCTCAACTAATACGCTTATTCCAAAGCTGTGCCTGCTCGGATACTACTCTGGGGCGGGCTAAGAAGTTACCATCCACATGGACGGCTACAAGGAGGAGGGCAGGGACAGTAGCCTCCGTAACCACCACCGTAGCCACCATAACCGCCGCCGTACCCGCCGCCGTACCCGCCGCCACCATAACTGCCACCATAACCACCACCTCCACCCATGTTGACGTTACCATAGTTGTTCCCATACCAATCACCGTCTTCGGCTCGAGTTGCTGCGACGAACTCTTTGTTAGAAAACGTACCGATGACCGCCTGTTCCCCGTTCTTCTTCACATGGTGCAAGGTAGAACCGATGAGTACGTAAGAATCAAGCTCTCCCGAGGTAATGTCCTGGGAGACCGAAAAATTGGCAATCTTATCGTCGAAGGACGAGTTTGGAAGGATGGTTTCTGGACATGGCAGCGAAAGAATCACTTGGTCAGCTCTCTTCCATTAATCTCTATTTGGGGTAAACCCTTACCGGTCCAGTCGCCCGAAGCGAAGTCTCTACTGTGAGCGTGGATTGTTCCGTCTTTCTCAACAAAGGCGACTATCAAGGCCTCCTTGTTGTTGAAAGCAGCAATAGGCGTTCCGATTTCAGCGGCGCCAGGAACGCTGAACCCGCCTTCCCAGGTTTTGGAACCCTGGTTGTGGCGGATGCTCTTGATCGTGCCATCTGGTGCCTGGTAAAATACCAGAATGGAGTCATTGATAGTTACGGCAGAGAGGCCGCTCTCCTGCTGGGCCTTGATTTTGCCCAAGCCATTGAGCTCAGTCTCATCCCACTCCTCTGAGTCGGGGTCAAACTCACTAGCCTTGAGTTCACCCCCATTTGTAATGTAGAGGATCAAGGCCTATGCAGCTTTCAGTCAGTCATAAGGGTTCTTGAACGTGACGGTCACACCAGTGACTTACATGGTTGTCTGACACGACAAAGGCTGAAGATGCGCCAGATTTCACGCCATCCACGACCAGTCTCTGGTCTTTGAGGTCCTCGCCGTCAAAGATCCTCTCTACAAGATGGCCATTCTCCACATTAAGGAGGACAAGGTTGCCATTTGCTTGTATAGCGGAACCTGCTGCCTGCAGGATGCGCGCGATTGTCTTGACCTGTCCACTCATGGTCACAAAAAATTGAAGTAGCTATGTTGATTGAAGCAGTCTTGGTATCAGAGAGAAATGAAGATGAAGAAAAAAACGTTTCATCCCTTGAGATGCAGGAGTGGCATTCATATTACTCTGACAATAGTTTACGTCATTTCATGGGAGCGATTGTGGGAAACATCTGCTCTACCGATTTACACAGATATGGCCACTCAGCGTACCGATCGTATATCTCAGGGGCCTCGTGGAACACTGCCCGGTTGACTACCCTTCATTGCTCGCTTTTGGTAAAAGAGGCGCTCGCTGTGCCAGCTGAATACCTGTTTTGGCAATTGGCAACCTCCTCTTGACAGCTGAAACGGCCGAAGAAATAGCGCTCAGCCAAATCTTGCCCCAGCATCTATTGAAGTACGTCTCTGCCATTCATATACGAGGATCAAGGCTCCTCATGACCACCTCTATGCGTCCATAGAGCGAGCCAAGACTTTGAGAGCCAATCTTGAGTGATATCGATGCAAAATGATACTTATAAGAAGCAATAAAGATGTCACCGGCCTCCAATGACAGGCTCAAGCCACAGATCGACAAAGAGGTCTGACGGTGCAATACACCCACTAAGGCGCCACCGAACGTCAGCATACCCAATAAGTAAATAATTCAATGTTGCAGCGCAAACAAGCGGGCAGAGCCGTTATTGGGTCCCGCTGCTCATCGATAACCCCCTAGACGAAATCTGCTCTTTTGTACTTAAGCGGCCGATTTTATGCAGGTAATACGCTAGGATCATTGGATTTGATGAACCAAAGCGGATTCCGTTTTGATCTACGTGCGTTCTTATGCCGCTGCAGTGCGTGTGTGCAGCCGGCAAATCAATCTGCCAGATACGACAGTATACATGAGCTAAACGATTCCAGCCAAAGCAAAGAACTTATGTATTAATTATCCAACAGCGAGTTATCTCGCTCGTCAAGGCTTTTCAATATCCAGAAGGCGAAAATGGCATAGATGTGAGGATCAAATAAAGAGCTCCTGGGGGCTTACTTATCACGCCGTCCACCAGCGTCCCTCCCGGGGCTTGCTATAAAGAAAATTGTAGCTGAATGCGAGTGTATCCTGATGTACCTACCTGAAGGGGCGCCTCCTTGCAATATGCGGGTTGTATCGGCAATGCAAGCGGACCGAAAATGAAGAGCACTGCCTTCTCAGCTCGGATGATGCCGCGTAACCTGCGCAGTGTGAGATGAGATCAGGCGGGGTATCTGACGACGCTGCATTAACTCTCAGCTTACATCGGTTAGCAGATCCTTTCCAAAAACAATTGGCTCGGTGAGAAACCTCATGGTTAACTATTGATAACAAAACGGTCTCAAGCTCAAAAGGGGTGCTGGTAGATATGCAGACCTCCTTTCAACACCCACCCATCTCGAGTTGCTCTGCAGTCCCTTCCAAATGCAGCAATTCAGCTCTTATTGGAACATTAGATATTCCTGACCTAGACAATATCACCGTTTTATTGACCCCTAGGTAGCTGTCGTTTCTGTCGTAAACGCTGCGAGCTGGGAACGTCAAGGCAGATTGTATGATCTTCAACCCATCGCGTAATTCAATATGGATGTCAGATGACAGATGCTGGCAGCTGAAAGATACATCCAGTATCGATGTATGATACGTCTCAGGGAGATCGCGCATTGGGTGCTCTGGCATGCCAGCTCAGCCCGATAATGAGCGTTAAACGCTGACACCCTGCCTGTGGAGACAGTGGCTAACGGGCGTTTACTTGAAAACTGCCGTCACATAGATTGCTCTCTGTGTGATAGCTTTGTTTCAATTTCGTCGCTGGAGATACTTGATTCTTTCGTTTTAGTTGTTGAACTGTTGATACTAGCCATGGTCCAATCTGTTGTTCCACGAAGCCAGTGGCATAGAGACCGCCGCGGGGATTCAGGACATGGACGAGAGAGAGAAAAGGATCTCATTCGATTCGGCGTGAACTCGTTGGATGATGCTGTCATCGGCCAGGCCGTTGTTATGTTGCGGTTTGTCAAGGGCGGTGCAGGTAAGTGGGTAGACTCCGTGTGACAGAATCTAACTAATCACGTTGTTCGTGTTAAATTTAGAGAAAGGAGGCAACGGCTTCTTTGTTAATATCCCGGGCCAGGACAAGGCCGTTATCTTCACAGCCGCGCACAACCTGATTGATGTGGATGGAACCAGGACAACAAATTTTCGAGCGTGGTGGCAGGGAGCGGACCGCTGGGCCCAGATTGAAGAGAAAGACACTCACATCAGCAGCGTGTACTCCAAGACACCAACCAAGGATTCTGCAATCGATGACTTTGGTATTATTCTTGTGGCCAGAAACAATATCCCACCACCTCCAACCACGGCGTTTGGGTTTGGGCTGCGGCTTGGAGAGGAGGACAGAATTGACGGTCTTTGTAACGTTTCAAGCTATTTAGTTTCAGCTCAACAGGGCGACAAGCCAACCAGGAGTACTGGTAATTTTATCAACCCACTGCTGAAGGAACATCAGCTGGAGTACTTGGTGCCCACTGAAGCTGGTGTCAGCGGCTCGGTTGTCTGGGTGGGATATAACGGGAGCCCTGTAGCTGTGGCAGTCCAGTAAGTTCCCCAGAGCACAAATTCCTACCATCAGATATTCTAATTCGGCTTACCAATGTGTTTTTTTTTATTAGCAACTACGGGCCAAAGAGAAAGAGCCCCAAATATGGTAGTCTTGGCTCTCGAATCAATCTCAAGATGATGAGAGAGATATTGGAGTGGACAGGCGTTTACCATCGCGCGACCAAGATTGTAGCCCAGCCTCTGGGCAAGAAACAGGCAGCTCCACAGCACCCTCTGACTTTGACATGGTCTGATGATGACAAGGCCTTCCGAGTACACGTCCAGGACGACGCAGACCCAAGCGACAAGCCGGATGAGTCCGTCTTCGAGGCACTGCCGGTGTTCTCCTCCGCCATGCTCCAGGGCAAGGAGCCAAGGGCGGAGTTCGGGTTCGCACAGCCTGATACTAGAGCCACAGCTAAACCTGGAGCTGTTCGTTGGGTATCATGGAACACTGAGTGGGGGTCGGCAGGCATGTCCGGCAGTCTAGGCCGAGCACGACTTGCCCGCTTGGAAAAGAAGGGGATCTCTTCGACTATCTCTCTCAACTACCAGGGCAACTTATTGGATGTTGTATTTCGGACTGATCGAGATGTAGTGGATGAATGGGAACTCAAGTTCCCTGGTAGTGACTTCTCAGGTGTTGCCTACCAATCTCGCGGAAATCAGGATTACCAGGTAAGCATATCCTTCTTGAAATGCAGTCAGGTCAATTTATCCGCATTTTTCTGACCCAGTGTGCCTTCTAAGAATCCATACACCAGATTTGTTTTGAACGATGTGTGAATATCAAAGAGCCCAGGCTGAATGGACCATTGTGGGGTTATCTATGCCAGGGGTAGGGTTTAACAAATGGTTTAAATTACCGATTTCAATAATATTTTTAATTGGTACCGAAGGATGATAACTTAAATATTCCATCTGCTCCATTTGCTCTGCCAATGGCCCTCAGAGCAGCAATAACCTTGTTTAACCGACGATAAGCTGAAGGCGAAGTTCCAACCATTGGGTCTTGCGTGCACACGTTGTACCATTGCAAGTCACAAAACAACACCCTGAAACATCACAAGCTGGCATACAACTAGAACGAGTTAATTTACACGAGGATCTCGTATAAAATGGGTCTTGACAAGCTTAAATCCCTTCCCGAAACATCGAAGCGCTGCCCCTTCGTGACGTAAAATGGGCCGACAGGGGATTGTTGTCCCAAGACAGGAAAACCCGGAACCCTCTCTCCGGGCAAAGGACTACTATATAGAACTGTTGGGGTGCATTCAAACGTGGAAAGATTTAATCACGCCCACTCATCTCATCTCATTATCTTTGAGTAGCCCTAGAGGTTATCTTTTTTCCTGTCACCATGCTTGTCTCTTCCATTTCTCTGATTGTGGCCCTGGCTGGTTCCTCGGCCGCATTGTACCTGAAGTCTGCCACTGATGGAAGAATTGAAGCCTTCAGCCATCCTGTCAAGAGACAAAACGAGAGCGGTTGGAATCCTCCCAGTGACATTGCTTCCCCATTGAAAGAAGTGTGGGATCACGTCTCGAGCACTTACAATGGAGGAGACATCTTTGGCTTCACCAATTATGGCTGGGATCAAATAATGGATAACAACGGGTGAGTGATTCTCCGCTGGAACTACATCCACCGGGGCTAAGCTGTGGATAGACAAATCAATTATTGCGTTCGCTGGGAATCATCTCAAACGGTCTCCGAGGCACTCCGCACCCAGATAGAGACCAAGGCCCAAGAGGCATATGACGACTGGTTCACCTGGGTCTATGGATTCAATGGATTCCCATTTAGCAATATCAAGATTAAGGTAGTCGGCTGGGCGGTCAGTGACACAAGCCTTCTTCAAGGTTCAACCGAGGGAATTCAAGTCTACACGGACACTGACTCTGAGGGGATCCCTCAATGCGCACCGAGCTGCGGTCGATTCTTCCACCAGGATGGCGACTACTCAGGATGCTCCGCCGGTGCCGACTACCACTACGACCAGTCTCTATGGGTTTCGGAAGATTTTGGAGGTGGTGCCGGTGGCGACTGGGGTCAGCGCATTCAGAAGAGTATATTTGACCAGGAGATTCAGGCTCGTCCTATGACTTACATGCAGCATGAAATGGGACATACTTTTGGCATGGATGACTGTAAGTTGATCAACCCCCTCTCCCCTCCCTCTTTTCAAAGTGGCTACTAACAAATCACAATCATAGTCTATGGTGAATTCCCTTCTCTCCGCATTCTAAACACTGCCAAAACCACTAACGATTCGCAGACTGGAAGCCAACTGGCGCAGGCGCCTTCATCATGGATGAGGGCTTGGAGATTGTTGACTTCGATGGGTGGATGTTCCGCAACTTTTGGTATGAGCTCAAACAAAATCGCGGGTGGTAAGGCCTCGTTAGTTCCATGCGGCAAAGAGCTGCAGGCCTTTATGGTGACGGCATCGCTCGTGCTTCTCATACTTTCACAATATTGTATGTTGCAGCAATGATCGTATCATGGAGTGAATAGACTGGACTGATCAGGGCTTCTAAATGAGTAGACCATCAAGCAAGGCTACGTGTTATGAACAAGTTAGTTCCTAACCCCTAGCATGTAAATCGCCTACAGTAAGCGAGCCATGTTTCATAGTTCATCGATCCGGTGCTCTTTGGACGTTGGGAACCACTCCTCGTCGTCCTCCCATGTGTCGAGCACCGAGCCATCTGGATCTTCCTTCACGCCATCCCCCGAATCCATCCCATCATATCTGGGCCAGTACTGCAATACGTAATCTTTGAGCCGTCCAGTCCAAGGCCATTGAACGATCTTGCCTGCTTTGACGACAGCACACTCCCTAATGCAAAGCTTTGTGAGTTGCGGGAGTGATTGGAGAACGATATCAGCAGCTTCTTCTGTTTCTCGGATATCCTGAAGAGTTTCGATCCGTCCGAACTTGGTTCCCTCAAGCCCAAAATACGCATTACCACACTTGAAACCGGATTGCGGAAACGAACTAATACCCAGTAAATCTACGTGGGGCAGGGAAAAGACTGTCAGACTCTCCAACTTAGCCAGCTCCAAAAGAATGGCCTAGATTCAAGTCAGCATTAATCATTGCTATCACTTGCAGCCTTGGACTTTGGCTCTGTTCTCCTTTCCCTTCCGGGAGGCGGAGATGGCGGAGATATCATCACCTTGAAATTGTCGCGGCCAGCTTCGCCATACTGCCGACCCTCGTTACTCAAATCCCCTAATGACAGCGTCTTCACTCCCGGGGCTGCCTTAACAAGTTCGACAACTGAGTCCTTGATGAAAATAAAGTCCAGATCAACGGCCTCCAACTGCTTTGCTGAGCCCAGAGATCGTACAAGTCGCCGCTGTGGTCCATTTTCATCTCTGGAAAGAGAATTGAACCCGCTCCACGACCACGCGAAACCCGGTGCTGAGGATATCTTCTGTACTTTGGGTGCCGCGGACACAAAGAATTCCGCGTTAGGACCAAGAATTAAGGTAGTGATGCTTGGAAAATTCAGCTGTTGGTCCGTCAAGTATTTATGCAACGCCGAGGTCGTATTAAACGAATCCCATTCCGGATGCGGGTCCATCCAAGCCAGAGTCTTAAGCTGTACAGCTTCCTTGAATAATCGGGTAAAGAGGGGGAAGACTTTCGCTGGAGGTTGATGATATTTGTCAGGGGATGCAGAGATCTCTACTTGCAGCTCTTCAAGCGCCTGAATTGCCAGAGGGCATTCCAGAAATCCGGATAGGGTCTTGACTGTGTGATCCCATTTCTCGTCGTCGAGGCTCAGCTTCTTGAAGATATCGTCTGGTATTGGTGGGAGAAGGGCTCGCTGCTGCGGCTCGGGGTAGCAGAAAAACTGCACGGGGTCGCTGAGACTTTCAATGGCACGTTGATGTTCTTTGACGTACGGATGTTCCAAGTTGGTGATGAACCGCGGGATTCGACTCTTCAGCAGCCCCAGACCAACAAAGAAGGGCCGGTCTAGGGATGCGAGTACCGAGGAGGCAGTCGCGAGGACGAAAAAAATAAATGTCAACTTCATTTTAGACTGATGGTGATAGCGTTGATTTATCTTGAGGGTTTCTTCTGCCCGGTGGGAGATGGCTTGCTTATATTAATTGACATTCATTGCATACGTGGCTCTTGAGCCTGAAACCCCTCCAAAGGATAGTTGTGCCATTTACAGGCCAGCTGTGAGTCATCATCTTGTAGTTGCCATAACCATGCAGCTTACAAAGAACGGTACTTTCGACGAGCTAGTCATGTCGTGGAGCAGCTGTATTAATTAATTGCCCTAGACGCTTGTGATCATCCAGCCACATGTCATTAAAGCTACCTTCCAAAAAAAAAATATTGATCTTTCTGTTTCAATTCTAGCTGTGCTGTAGATATTTCGACTTCCTTCCAAAGAGAGCCAGCTTTATCAAGTTCTATCTCAATACGTGATAAAGTCAGAGGTCGTCGTTTCTGTTCACAGTTAGAATACGACCACAGAGTGACTAGAATTGAGACAAAACTCACCAAAATACGGCCAGACATCTCCATTATCCGCGTCTCCATCGGATGTGGCCCATACTCCCTCCAGAATAGACAACGTGGTAGGGATATGAGGCATGCCCACCCAATTCGCAATATCTTGTAATTCAGCCTTCACATCGCCTCGTGCACTTCCCATCGCGCATAATCCTGCCGTGAACAGCGGAGTCACCAGGAGCACGCGCGGAGAAAAGCCTGCGGATCTCTTCATGTTTTGGCTGCACCAGACCAAGCCATTGACTACATCTTGGACCTCTGGAGACGAGATCGGGAGTGCTTGAATACCACAATATATGTATAGCAGCGCTGTATAGAGGTACCCGGCGTTACTTAACACGTAGTCCTGAACATCGTCGCCCGAGAGTGCGGCGGGGAGGTGTCGATCGCATACAAGATTTGATACTATGTCGCGTTCCAGTCGGCGGCGAACTTCTCGAACTAAAGCCTCAGCCTCCAGGTCGATGTCGCTATCTGACAAGATTGAATGTGCATTGCCAGTGGCAATGGATTGGGATCTGCGCCGGCTCCTTTTCTCCTTCACCATGGCGCCCACCTCCCTCAGAAGACCGGGGAGATCGGATGCAGTGCCTCCAAAGACGTCAAATTGGACGTCAATACTCCTGGGGCATTTCACCTCCAGCTGGCCATGGCGTAACCCAAGTGGCGTAAGAGCTGCCAGTGCCTCAGTATTGTCATACCAACTGGAAAGAAAGCCATGAATCGCTGAGCATGAACAATTCTGATTGGCGCCGTTCCTAAAGTGCGCATGTTGCAGGATGAATCTCGCATTATCAAGATGCACGCGCCAGGAAGAAGTGCCACGGTAAATCATCGCCTGACACAGTGTTCTGGTTGTCGTCAATGACAAGGCTTGCGCAACCGGATCGCGATCATGAAGTTTCGGCCGAAGGCTTTGAATGCTGCTCTGCTGAAGCTTGTCGATGAGCTTTTCTGGCTCTCCCGATAGCAGACCATTGGAATGCAAGTGGACCGCGGCAAATGTCATGATTGCGAACAGTAGTGATCGGTTTTCAAGTGCCATCGGCAGGACGAAGCGACATATCTCATCACGAGCGTAGTCACTTGGTACGGTTAGCCGCATTGTTTGTAAGAGGTAATACTGCAGGAGGTATTTAGCAGTAGGTGGAAGGAGAGCCACAGAGCCGAGAGGTCTTGAGATCAGGGGACTTTGATTTCTCTCCTCAGAGATTGAATATTCGCCCGTGTTGGGTTCTCCATCAATCAAAGGTTGCGATATGGGAACCTCGCCAGCCTCGGATATGAGGGAAGACGGGTTTGGAAGCACGTCTCGCAGATCAAAAGCCCCCAGGTGATTTCGAGACGGGGAAACTATATGATATGAGTCCGTAGTATCGATATCAAAGGCTGTCGCAGACGGCGGAGTCCCATCTTTATGGTCGGTTGGAGATGTCTGTGCCCTCAGCCCATACACGAACCCGCCAGCGGATGCACTCTCTAATCTCTCAACGTTGTTAAAGCAGTTGCCAAAAGTAGATTTGCCGAATGGCTTGCCTCCCCATCTCAATCGAACTTCATAGATGCACGGGCTGCCCACGGAGAGACATCTGCCGCAGGACGGTTTCTGCTGGTCACAACCCTGGCGGCGACGCTTACAGCGTGAGCATCCTGCATGGGATCTCTTTCTTGCCCGTGTTGGAGGATCCCCCGTATGAACAGACGATGCATCCGTTTCCCGAGCCATGCCGTAAGGTGGTGATGAGTCTCTGGAAATGAGTGCGATGAATGATTTTCCAGTGGGGGGAAGAGACGGATTTCTCGGTTATCTCTCCATTCTCCGGACTCGGGAGAAGTCACTAGCGCATTATTTGACTCGTGGCCCACTGACCTTGACATGAGGGTTGCATCTATAACTGCCTCACGCGGACGGCTAGACTCGCTAGTTTCATCCTCTCCTCAGTTGGCTAAAAGCAAAGCTGCATATATGTATTGAACCCTGTATACAAAGAATACTCAAAGGTCCATTAGGATCTGTAATCTTCTAATCGCATCTTTGTAAGGCGTGGGTAACGGAGTCGCATCTAGCCTGAGCATTATGAATGAGATATAAGAAATGGTTATTACGCTGTATCACTCTTTCATCTTAGATCGTCACATTGCTTTAATCTCTGTTTTTTTTGCCTATCTTGTTAACTTATTACTCTACAACTGTGAATTTGAGTAAACACTTCTGCCCTTTTGGCCTCGTTGTGAAAATTTGGTCATCCATTGTCATGTCCGCCGTCATTTCATCAGCTGGCGTGCTTCTGAATTGGCCATAGATATCACACAGAAGCGTTTTCATCTCAGCCGTTGCGAGACTGTTCCCCTTAAGTGTTAGCACCGAGATTTGACTAGAATTGGGATTTTCAATGATCACAGGATGAGTTGGACTTACTGTCGGCCAATGCAGGCTCTTCCTCCAGCAGAAAAGCTAAAAAATAACCGGTTGCGGTGTGCGTTTCCCTTCTCTTCCAGCCACCTATCTGGGTTAAAGCTATCCGGGGCTGGGAAAACATTCTCGTCCATTCTGTGCATGGAAAACGGCTGGGAACTGGCAGTTGTGCCCTCGGGTAACCAATACCCATCAACTGTTGCGCCCCCTGCAGGTACACATCTAGGTAGACTCATGGGAATAGAGGGAAAGACTCGGAGCCCTTCTTTGACGATCGCGTCCAGAAACGGCAATTCGTGGATAGACATATGTGCATTCTCCCTCAGCTCAGCGCGAAGTCGATCTTGAAGGCCAACATATGCAGGCTGGGACAGTTGCCACATGAGAAAGCACAGTGCATCACCAGTCGTCTCAATTCCCGCAACCATGTGGTCCATACATTCTGAGGCAATTTGAGTGGAATCCAGGCTTCCTTTTCCGTCTTGGAGAGCACCAACGAGGGTAAAGCTAGCAGAATTCTCTTGTTTGACCGCGTTCTTTACCAGGGCTTGGGCACGGGGAATGGCACGCTGTGCACCAAATAATCCCATCTTTCCGAGGAAATGGCCGAGGGTTGGGTTATAAAATATCATCAGCCGGCCTTTTAAGAGTGTTGCTCATTAGCTCACTGTTCAACTCCGTTTCCTCATGCAGCAAGAAGAGTAAGGCTTGACCTACGAACAAGACTATTGTCAAACGACACCTCGCACATCACCTCTTCATCGGCTTTGTCTAAAAGTGAATTGCTTCCATAAGGATGGAACAAGTGATGTGTGACACAATCGAATGCGTAATTATGAAGATGAAGCTATTCAAAGTAAGTCGCACCGCTAAAACGTACAGAACGAGGCCTGATCTCTTACATATATGTCCAATTCTTGTTGTGCACTCTCTTTAATCCTGGTAATGAAGTTCTGGGATCGTTTTTGGATTCCGTGTAGCGAGTCTTCACGCATGATGTTGGAGTTGGCATAGCGATCCGCTAAGATTCGTCTTCTCTTGCTGTGCTGAAGGAACATAAAATCGGTTAGTAACTTTGAAGCTAAAATAGAGCTACAGAATGCCTTACCGGTTCCTTTCTCTTATCGGAGAACATGGTACTTTGTCTCGAGTTAGCATGCATGGCCTTTCTTTAATACATTGTGATATGAGGCCTGTTTACCTAAGACCAAATTGCCGGAACAGATCGTAGAATTCAGTCTTGTCGTAGCCGCTCCCCTTCGACATGTAGATCTCCTTCATTGCGGACGCAGACGCGAAGGAGACCTCATTTGGACCCAACCGGACGGCTGTCCCATAGCGCTGATGCATGCTATGGACGAACGTAGTCCGTCTTCCATGCAGTTCATAGTATCGTAATTGGATGGAGCTGAATAAAGATAACTTGGAACCCGGTATTTTGGCAAGAGGAGAGTAAAAATTCCTCGCTAGCGCAACTACGCACAATAGGGCGGCAGCAGCCAGGAGCATGGGGAAGGTTAGCAAGGCCATGGCTCGGTTGAGTCAAGGCTAAGATGAAGCTTCAGGATACGATAGGCATAAATAATGGCAAAGGATTTTTCTTGAACTTTAGGCGATGGGTATCTGACAAAGCCGACAAGGTGATGAAGCAGGAGAAAGTCAGCTTAATATACGTTGAATTACGGAGAAACAAGACGATAAGAAAGGAAAGTTTAGGAGATGGCCCCGTCTTTCCTCCAAATGTTCCAATAAGTGAATAGAGCATCAGCCGTCGGAGGGTCATGGTGCATAGATTAGCCATGACAATGATAGACCAGTCAACTGCTATCCAATGATATGTGTCGTAAAATTGATTTTGTCCGAGGGCAACGGACCTAACCGATAACGGAAAGTTCAAGAGATATCCCGTATCAGTGGAAAGCGGGGGAAAGCAGCCCACAGACAGGGGTATCGCTTGAACATTCCTATTGTCGGTTTAGCTCGTAGCGAGACCGGCAAGGCGCCTAGATATCGGACGGTGTTCGTAGCGCCGGGTATGACATTTATTGAATGTTACTAGATGGCAAAAAGAACTACCATACAGGGACGTAAATTCGACGAGCTGAGAACCATGATCCCAGCACAGCCATAGAGTCACACCAGATTCATAACCCTTGAAATGCTAGCTACCGAATTCCCTGGCAGGATGAGTTATAGTGTATGAAATTCGGCCCTAAAAGTCTTTACAACCATTGAAATGCAATAATAAATGGTTCAAGGATACATCTACTTTTCATTCTATCGAACACCCGATTTTGGAAGATGGAGAGCTCGTTCAAAGTCAATCTAGAAGGCTATTGGTTCATTATTCCAATCATGCAGCAAACTTACTAAGCTTACATTTATCAGGCAGCAACTGGGACGCGATCAAAGACTCAGGCCATCTCCTTCAACCCCGCTCGGAACTGTCTTCCTACATCCGCAGACCCCGCAAGCGCCAACATGCCCCATCTACTCGAGATACCGCTCGAGCTTAGAGATGAAATCTTTTACTGGGTCATCTGCCCGCTGGTAGAGCCACCTGAATCTCCTCTTTCGGAACAAGCGCACCGCCAGAGGCTGCCGCATGGTGAATATCTCAGCCGGGGCATCTATAATGAGTGGGACTTTCTCCGTCGCGGCATTTGGCATCGAGCACCGACGAACCCTGCGCTCTCTCTCCTCCAGGTGAACAAACAGATCCATGACGAAGTCAGCCACTTTCTTCGACGCATTCCAACGGACTACAATGTCGATATCATGTATGTCAAAGAGTCCGGGCTTTGGCCAACTTGGTCAATCCCGAAGCTCCCCGAGACACAGTACATCGACTCTGTCCGTGCAACCTTTCGAATCTTCAACCCTACCGAAGATCTGGGCAAGCAGTTTCGGTACAAGGTGTCTCATTCACGACTGATCTGTCACTCGCCTACCTTTCATAGGTCCTTCTACGGATTGCTCACCAACTTCCTCAAACGTGGACCCGGGCTTCTCGACCGTACCCATCCCGAAGATGACGACAGCATCGCCCCCAGATACATTGTCAAGAAGATCTTCATCGACATCGTTGCACCTACCGATGGCTCTCCGCATTCCAGTATTCTCATAGATGACAATCTCTACCCGAGGCGCGCGAGTGCTCGCATGTTACGAACCCTGTACGGAGATCATGATGATGTAGACACGCCGCCTGAAGAGCGCCTCGCATCACACTTGGCGAAACAATTGGAGATGCTGTTGTTTTCTCGGTTTTGGTGCTTTGAATTCATGCACTTGATGATTATTTATGAGCAGGTGGCTGAGGAATTTGTCATCACAGTCAATGGAGAGGAATTCAAAAGAGTAAACATGGAAGAAAGCTTCAGGAAACTCAAAGAACAGTTCTTCCCCCCAGGTTCAGGACCCGGAACGTGTGCAGCGTGGGGAAATTGGGCAGAAGTAAGGCGGCGAAGGATGAGGGAGGGCCTTGAACTCGATAACCAGAGGCCGGCAGGGGTGGAGAGATTATATGAATAGTGAAGCACGCGATTGAGGCCGTGCAACAACCACAGGCAAAACGGAGGGCAAAACGGAGGAATTCTACCGTCATCACGAGAGCAGTGAGTTGACCGGCCATAGACTGGCTCATGAGTTGGTTCAGTAAAATAGGAAGGCACTCCCAGAAGCGTATCATGGATGAATCGAATGACAAGAGAGTCTCTGCGAGTGTCACCGTGTGTTGATGGCCCATCCTCGAGAACTATCTAATAACAAGAATATTCATTGCATATCAGAAGGCTACAAAGCTACCAAACTTGATAGAATACATTGGATATTCTCAATTCCTCTAGGGATACTCGGCTCTCAGACGCCCAATAGTGCTGACCATACCATCACCAGATCCCCATCCCGCCCAGGCAACTGTGCCAGAACCGAATGTTACTGACAAAGTTCCCCAGATGTACGGGGCGCCGTTTACATCTTGCCAATGAGGGCCACCGGACTGACCACCCATAGTGTCGGTGTCAGTGTAGAAAGGTCCAGTAGAATCGCAATCCCACGCACGGAAGGATTGGACTGTATTTCCATTCGTACGATAGGGCCTGTTACCGCTGTCCCGGTCGCCAGGGTAGCCAATGTGGTTGAAGATGGGTTGGTCGACGAGCGAAGCGTCAGGATACTTAGCACCAAAGTATCCGCGCTCTTCACCCAATCGTCGGTCAATAATAAGAATAGCCCAATCTCCCTTCCAGCCACAAGGCGTACCCCAGTCAATGTCGGTGGTGACAGCCACAGTAACAACACCCTCACCGAAACGGGCCCCGTTGTCGAAGCCCGGGGCAAAGTAGCCAGTGGCACCGGAAGTAAGGCAGTGCTTGGCAGTCAGGACATGCCGAGGTCCGACTAGAGCGCCGGAGCACCAGACGCCATTACTCCAGTATAACTTGCCAGTGGCAGCCCAAGGGTAACTTGTATCGCTGTAAACATAGCGGTCATCAGCGCCATTTATGTAGCGCTTGTTGACGTCTGTGTTGGTTGCACCCTCGGGAATCAGAGGCTCAAGGAGCGTTGCGTTTTGGGCAATGTCCTCGGCAGACAAGTATGTGACTTCTGGAATGATATCATCCGCTGAGAGAGTACGGACGTAGGAAGGGTCAAATCCCAGCAGGTTGCTGACCTTGACTTCCGGGGCCACAGGGGTAGCAGTGGCCCTGGAGAGAAGCAAAGCAGCAACTGCTGAAGAAAGGAGCCCGATCATGATTAAGACAGTATACAAGCAAGTTATTAGGCAACTTATTTCGGCTTGTTTGGAAATGCTCTCTTTGAGAAGGTTCGCGAAGTCCGAGATATCCAAGGGCAATCAGGCATTATATATCGTTTTCTGCAGCTTTAAGCACACTGATATTTCAAGGCTTACATTTCAATAAGATATTGTAACGTCTTGGCACATTGAGTGATATTTCACGGTTCAATATAGACTTCCGGCCATGCATTGCACTATGGAACTGCAAATGCAGTGATATGTAGAGTTGAGAAAGAAGAAGGTGGTATGAATCGAAAGGTGTCAGCACTAGTATAGTTGAGAAATTCTAGTCATATGCTACGAACCCCAGCGTGTGGAGGGCGAACTTTGGTTCCCCAGGGCCTCGAGATATTGACTATTTCCACATGCTGCTCCCCTGGCTTTACGCGGTGTTGCATCAACGAAACCCAGAGTCAGCAGGGTGCGAGCAGTTTATCATAATCGAGGCAATACATTACTCAGCCTTATCTTCCTCACCGTGGTGGAAGTCATCGGGTCCATCTATCCCGGTCCCCAGCCCTGTCGATATTAATGAGAGCGAGAGTCTTATGCCTATTTGAGGACTGGGATGCAATGCCATCCGGTAACATCGGTAGATTCGGGAACTCCATAAGATGTGGACGGACATAATTCTCGTGGCCACGTCGCATCATAAGACCGAAGTTGACAGTTCCCAACTTCCTCTTTGGAGAGATGCGTGCCAACGTTACGCTTATCCCCCCAACGTTTTTGATGGGTCGATCCTACCTCAAGACTGTCAGTTAGCGGCGTAAGGGCGTCAGATGGGACGAATGGGTAAGGGTCAGATGCTACCCTGCAAATAATCACTGGATATGGCATCAGAAAAGCTCCTTGTCCATTTACCTTGGGGGAATAGCTATCCACATCGAATAATCTCTTGACTTCCATTCTCATTCTTCCCTGTTTTTATTGTGCTTAGAACTACGGGCCTTATACCTCAGAGTTTACGGACCTCTTTCTACGGGCGGCCAGGCAAGGGAAAGGCGACATTGTATATGGGGATTGTTGGGCGATTGAAAGCCAAGGCTCACGTCCTGTTTCGCAAATCATGGATGATTATTTCCCGCCAGGGGAAATGTGAAATAGATTTTGACAGAACTTAGTTAAAAACATAACCTCTAATTGAAAAAAAAAGCAAACGTAACCATCAGTCCTCACTTCCTGGGTTAACAGCCGTCCCAGGCTGGGAAGTCTTCCTCTTGCGTCAAACGAAGTTTTTCGTCGTCGTGCACTTCTGTGATTTCCCAGCTGCACTCTTGTCGCGATTCTCTTGGCCCAGCCCTGAGATTCGCCATCGTGAATTTATGTCTGCGACGGCGTCTTGATGAAATGACCACCATTCGCAAGTTTTTCTTCCCTGCATGGAGAATGGCCTCCATGCAGGGTTTCTCGAACTCCCCCTCCCCCGTCTGGCTTATTTCATCCAAGTTGATGTGGATCGTCTCCAGCGAGTCCGGTAACAAGATGGGGGAAAGCTCATCGCCACCGGGGGATGGCATCGCCTGCTCAAGGGAATTAGCAAAATGCCTCATGATTTTGCCGTCAAACGAGAATGACCTGAGCGCTTTGAAACCTAGGAGCGGAAGGATCTTGAATTGCTTCAGACGGCGGAGTCCAATCTGAGCAAGCTGTGCCTCCAAAAACATGGCCTTGTTTGCCGAAATTTTCAATTCCTGGAGAGTGGCGGAACAAGATTTCAGGGCCTGGAAAAGTCTATGGGGAGGTTCGCCGCGGGTCAAGGCATAGTATTCACACGACAATCGGCGGAGGCTGGGAAGCTGTTTCATGTCCGATTCAAGATCCGGTGTGACGTCCTGGATGCAAAGTTTCAGATCTTGAAGCTGCGGTAGACAGGGCGTATTCCGTAGATCATTGGCTGTGCAAACCAGACTCCGAAGCGACTGTGCGGCCTGGCCGATTAGAAACCTAGCTGCCATGTTTTCGACGTATTGGTGAGGGTAGAGCCCGGTTAACCTTCCATGACAGGAGCACTTCGGTATAGACGGAAGGATGAAACTGAGTTGTTGTGTTAGAAACAGCGATGCACTATGATCTCCGAGGGAACTAGCAGTCTTCCAAACAGTAAATAAATCGTCTTGCCAGGGACTTTGAGGACGAACAGCGAGTTTCAGTTCGGGTGAGGTCCGTACAGAGACGAATATCAATTGCATCAGTGTTTCCATAAGATGGAGATTGTCGAGATGGCCGTTGGACAGCGGGATTCGAACACTATTCGAGAGAGTCCTGAGAGCGTTCAGGAGCGATCTAGGCAGTGGTGGATTTTCGTCAGAGTCACGAACATCGCATTGGCCGGGTCCAGCCCACCGCTCATCTTGGATGCTCACTGATCTGACATGGTTCTTCAGGTGGGGATAGATCCTAAGGCTTGTGAGAAAGCCGACTGTGACTCGAAGGGGCCTTTCAAGGTTATTCTGGGGGATCCGGATGTCGACGTTATGGTAGAGAATTCGTTGCGCGGTGAAATAAACGGATTTGGAGACTCTGCAAAGGCTTAGTAGTGTTGCGTGTCCTTTATGTGTGAGATGTTCAGGCGCATCTTCCTCGCCAAGTGACGGCGGCTCACAGTGTTTGCAGAAGAACGTGCAGATTCGGCGGATAACCAGATCGGGAAGATGGAGGTTTCCTGCTTCGGTCTTTCTGGGATCTCTGTCGAGTGCCATGGTATGAAGTTGACTGGTCCAGCAGCCAAGGAAGATAATTTGAGAAACTGAAGAATGCGGGATACGATTTTTGCTGTGAGGTGAAAGATTAAGATGAAGGAGGTGAGGAAGCGAGGAGTCCAGCTTGAGAAGAGCATAATATATCGTCTACCTACTCAACGGTTTGAGGTTGCGACGACGAGGAACACATTGTCAAGAATATTGAATACACTGTTCCAGCCTGGCTGCATTTTCAAAGCTATTGAACATACTTTGAGACTACTAGCACATTGTCTAACTATTGAATCTACTTTGCGATTGACAGGCCGATCTTCAATTGTGGGTTGAACAATGGTGATTTCAGACACTTCTCAGATTGTCGGCCCACCACGCTGCATTAGCATTGAGAAAAAAGTGGGAAATGGCAAAAGGAGATTATTCAATCAGTCAACAAGGCCGTTTCTCATATTGAGATGCTTCAAATAGAAGACGGTTCAATGAAAGTGGGCAAGAAGAGCGTGGTTTCTTCACGTAGACTGTCTGCTCCTGTTGATGTTTCCAAGACGATCGTAAGTTGAATATGACTTCTTAGAAATGCGCTTGCAATTACATTCTAAGCCGCAGTTGATCGATTCTCCGGGCCACCCAAACCCAAGAAATTATGCCCAGTCGATTACCAGTGAGCAAAGAGTTTTGAAGAAACTGTCTTGGAGCACTAGTGATAAGTCGAGAATCTATTACGCCAACGAGTTTGGAAATGGATCTTCTAATATAATCTTATTATGCCATTTTATTCTAAAAAGAAAGTCTAGAATAACTCGCCTCTATCGATGTCTACAAAAACAAAACAAAATGAAGGAAACCCTCGCGGAACTCATATATCCTAGGCATGTTTCTCATTGACAAGGACATATCTGAACCTCGGTTTTCCGGCCTTGACATCGAGGATTGCTTGGTTGGCATCCTTCAATGGGCGCTTTTCTACCCAAGGCTTGACGCCCTTCTCAGCAGCAAGCTCCAGCATCTCTCTGATATCGGCAGGTGAGCCAATGCCACTACCGCCAATTTTGATTTCGTTGGCGAGCAAGATAAAAACGTTAATCGGGGGAAGGTTTCCTTTATCAGGGGCACTTTATCGCATCCGTGTTAGCAAGAAGGAGGCGCATGGTTATAGAAACGGATCTAATCACTTACCCAACTTGAACGAGGCTGCCGCCTACCTTGAGCAGCTTCAGATAGTCGCTCATTGGCATCTTTTCGCTGGAAACTGTGCTGACGATGAGATCCAGGGTGCGTCGACCCTTTGTGGCCCAGTCCTCGTCGTCGTCGGTGGCGATATACTCATCCGCGCCCAGCTGCAACACCTCATCACGCTTCTCGGCCTTTCGGGAGATACCGACAACACGGTCGGCGCCCAGCGCCTTAGCGAACAAGACTCCAAAATGTCCCAGGCCGCCCACGCCAACAATGCCGACAGTCTTGCCAGGCCCACAGCCGTTGACTTTGAGGGGTCTGTATACGGTCACACCGCCGCAAAGCATGGGCGCAGCGTCTTCTGATGCCAGGGACTCGGGAATCTTGATCACGAAATGACCATTTGTACGGTTGTAGTCGGCATAGCCACCATATGACTTGCCCTGGCCATCAGCGTAAACATCGCCGTATGTGTTAGTCTGTACGGATCTGTTAGTCGACAAATGCAGAATAAAAGGGACTTCGGGGGTTCTAATCACCCACCTTCTGGGGATTACCGCAGTAGTTCTCGAGCCCGGCTGAACATTCGGGGCAATCGTCTTTCTGGCAGCTCATGGCTTGAGCGCCGACGCCGACACGGTCGCCAACCGCGATGTGCTTGACATTCTTTCCGACGCGGACGGCCTTTCCTACAATCTCATGGCCGACGCAGCAGGCTGTGGTTCAATTCCAGATGGTCAGCATGTAAAAGCTTCTAAGAGGGGTCTCTCGCAGCAGCTGAGGATGACATACGGAAAGGGGTAGGACCCCAACCAGCCGACAAAGTGTGCAGGTCCGAGCCACAAATACCGCAATGGGTGATCTGGATATCGACATCGTCCTCTGTCCATTTCTTGGGCTCAAACTCTCCCCACTTCATGTTTCCGTTGACGCTGTCGGCATCATGACCGAGCCAGCCCTCGAACTTGTAATCGGTAGAAGCCATGTCGAACTTTTGATCAAAGATGTTCAGAGTGAAGAATATCGGGGAGCAAACGCCAAGGGGGTTGTGAGTACGGTTTCTTTACTACGAGAGCGGGTCATTTAGAATCCTATGGGAAGGATGGCCATCCTTTATATAGGTTTAGTGAGTGATAAAAGCCACCGCTTCCTAGTTTACTGGAGCCAAAACACGAGATGTCACATCGCGGTGGGTTCGCATGGCTCGAAGGAAAGAGCGGAATGGCGGCTCGATTGTGGAGTATTGGTGCCAATCATGACGATAGAAACGGATGGAACCTGTTGCGATCAGAGGCTGCGCTATTGCCAGGGACATCGCTTGAATGGCCTCCTTCACAATGATTTCGGTTAGACTGGCCCGTTTGCTAGACAACCCTTGCGGCGATAAGGTGCTTAGGTGGGTCGGTTAGTATGTCATTTCTGGAGACTGGAAAGGCTCAACGCCAATGAAGCTCCGAGGAAGATGGAGTTAGCGCAGGATGAAGTCTTAGAATCCGAAACTCCGGGTGGAAAATTGGCGACGACGGAGATTGTGGCTTCTAACTGCGTCAAGGCCGCCATTTCAGACTATGCTTTATCCATAACATCGCCGAGTCCTACACCACCATTTCATCATTCTTCTGGTCAGTCCCTCCTTCTCGATGACAAACTATGAATCATAAGGTCCTGCTCCAGTCATGAGCAGCAAGCGCCATCACGACGGCCCACGCCGGGTCAATGTCAAGCCGATTGAAATCAAACGAGTCAAGCATTCATCGTCCTATGTATCGGATCAATCGGCTACTCATATCGAGCGTCATTGAAAACAATTGTATCGAGCAAAAGAATACTGCAGTACCTCTTATCCCCGGTCCGGGACATACCTCAATAGAACCGACCAAACCAAACAGCGTCGCAAAACCGGAGTAATTATTTATTGCCTTCTCAAACCCCTTATATCACTGCCACTCTAATGCCGCCTTCGATAAAAAAAAATCTCACCGTTTCCATGACAAAATCGAATGACGCTTAGGTGCTTCACTGTGTTTCTCAGAATGAGCGCCCAGATCGCCAAGTTATAGTCCCCCGTGCTTATTGTTCTGGGTTGATTATAAATACTCTGAAACCAACTCAGATGGTGTTTGATAAGACGCGGATGTGATAATCGTTTCCATTATTTATCCCTTCGTACATGTGGCTTCAAATTCGACTGTTTGGCGGCATCTCAAAGATGTATTCAGCCACCAACTCCGAGGCTTCTTTCGCAACGCCAAAGCTATAGCAATATCCTCCTGCCTCCTGGCCGTATGCGTGCACAACCTTCTGGCCGCCGATAACCTCCTTCTCTAGTCTAACTCCACCTTTCTCCTGAGGCCGGAATTCGTACGTGTTCGCGATGTCGTACAGAATTTCGTAATCATCCGGATTTGGGGATGGAAGTATTGAGGGCAATTTTTCATGTCCACGCGTCAGAATCTAGAGTTTCGATCAGTCTTAGTGTCGTACTTTTTGGACAAAATTCCCCTAATAAGTGGTGTCGATAGTGGGAAGACTTACTGTCTGACGGTCTTCGTCGTATACCGTGCGGTCATTCACACCCAATGTCTTGATCCCTCCAATGTACGTGGTGCCATCAGGCCTGCCAAACATGTTGAAATAGTATCCCCTATTTCCGCGGTAAATATAGCACTCGTCGTAATCTTTCTTAACAACGAGGGATTGCAATCGGTAGGGGACAAGATTTGGCTCATCCACGTCTTTGAGGTCCTTCGTTCGTGCGCCAGTGGCATTGATAAGAACATCGTGGCCGAAGTCCCTTAGCTCTGCCAAAGAACGTACATTGCTATAGTGAAACTGGACTCCTCTGGTCTCGAGCCTCTGTCTCATCCATGACAAGAATACGGGCGGTGAAATGCAAACCGTCTGATATTCCATCCCGAACCTGGCCGTTGCAGGCAGTTCACTGGTATCCAGCCATCTGAAACCTGGAATTTTTGACGAGTACCAAATATCCTCACGAGCCCCATACTCAAATATCTCAGTCATTTTGCTTCTTCTCAGACCTGATTCGGGATGGATCTTGGCAAGACGCCACAACACCGCAAATGATTCCAGCTGGAGGCGCTGATCTCGGGGGCTGGACATGGGCACCCCAACCCAGCAAGCCCCTGCCCATTGGCTCGTGTAGTCATTGTCAAAGGGATCTCCCGGGAGGTGCTGTCCTAGAATATTTATCTGGTAAGTGGAGGGCAGCTGGCTTGCGATGCTCAAGCCCGTAACGCTAAAGTGTGTTAGTGCAGCCAGCTTACAAGAGGGAGCAACAGGTGCGTTCACGTACCCAGCGCCCAGAATAGTTACTGTCACCATTGATTTTATTGATTGAGATCCCTCAGCATGTTGAAAAAAAAGCGACTTCAATCTATGTCAGGAGAAACTGCTCAGACCAGCCCTTATAACAACGATCGAGTGTGCTTGAGGGGCTTTCCTAATCTGGAAGATTAGCGAGCTCACCCCCAACTTCTCCGCGTGGCTGGAGCCGAGCCACCGTCTACTAAGAACTGGCATAGGGATGTCTTTCCTCTTCCAGAGCTGTAGCGATCCATGGGAGCAGGACGTCAACAGTCTCGGGGCTATTGGATGAGACAATTCAACTTCAATGGTAAGCCTCGCTTAAGTGAATGAGGCCATTATTATACCAACATAAAAAGACCATGGTTTCCGTTAAATAAATCCGAATTTCGTTAAACAATTCCGCCTCTCATTTCTTGTTCCGATGCATTTATTCATGCAGTTTCCCAAAATGGTTCAGCTGAAGAACGCGGAAACCTCAGCAACAGCCAAAGACTATGCGGAGGTTAGCGAGAGCACCAGAGAGCAACACAACGATGGTCCATATGCCCGGGGTTATTCGTCTCGCGTCAAAATGGGTTGGGGAAGGCTTCGGGCTTATGGCCGGGATAAATTTCTTCCTCGATGAGGCGCACGGTTTGGGGAATCCAAAGCATGACGCGATACTGGCAGTCGCCATTCTTCCGGGAAATCCGACAAATGTTGTGGCTGCGACCATGTCAGAAAAGGCCGCTTGATTAGCACAGAGGGCTTGTCCCCTGACGATAAGAACCTAGCGCTCGTCCACTGACATTGAAGCAGCGGTCAGCATGATTCAAGAAACACGCGTGTGCAAGCGTGTGTTTATGTCATCAATCAAACATCGCGTCTACCTCGGCCCAGCGAATGCTCATAAGTGATTGGCTAGCATTCTCCATGTGCCCCGCCAGTGCCTTGAGGCGCGGCGAAATTTCGCCTACCCTAAAGCTTTCATCTTCTCGAGGCAACGCATGCGTGAATAGGTATGAAAAAGAGAAGTAAAATACCAATGAGACACCAGAAGAACCTATATAATGTGTTATGTGACTCCTATACGTCGTAACTAGAGCAGCAATGCTTGGCTGGCACAATAAGATGTTGTGGGTGAAGAAGACATACAACCAGCTTCCCTTCATAACCATCCCAGTCTTGTCAGTAGGTATTTGAAGTTGCTCACTCATGGGTGGCGCGTGTTAAAGTAAACTATATCAAACACATCCGCTCATAAGATCCTAAGAACGCCTCATATCGTATTGAGAAGTATTAGATGAAGGAACGTGCCTCCATAGGAACCTCCCATGAAGCGCGTCGGAGGACAGTTTAGATTATTAATACAAATCAACAGGGATTACGGGGTAAAAATCCAAATATGGTAATTACCCCAATATTGAGAATAACGCCCTGGTTGGTAAAAAGACACCAAGAATTGGAAAGAAGCCATACCATCTGATGGATTTGAGCATGATGGGTAGACGGGCCACCATGCTACTGATTCTGTCGTGGAAAACATAGTCTGGTCAACCCGAGGACCTCGATTGATTAATTTAATCTCAAAGACCTCTTTCGTACCCCTCGCTGGTTCTTGTGGGCGTCCCAGACTCCCAGTAGGACTTGGAGTAATTTCCTGATTCAAACATGAGATTCCGGGGTAGAAAATGCAAGCAACTAGTGAGCCATGGTGCAAGCCTTGAAGATTCAGTGTCCACTAAGGTAGCCTGGAGTTTGGGGGGTCTTGAGGGTCTAGGAACTAAACCATGGCAGGGGATGTGAATGAAGGGCCGTCTGGCAGCCTTTCTGACCAAAGTCTGGGAATGTCTTATAGCATTACAAATCTATCACAGCCAGGCGCAAGTACCAGACTACTTACCCCTTGTAGCATTGCCCCGTATGGGAAGTGGACACTACCTAGAGGCTTGGTCTCAATCTTTAAAAACCCAAGGATATATGATAAAAAGGTGCCTTGACATTGATGATTTCAACCCTCTACAAACCACGAGTGGACAAATTGTACACCTTTTGACACAAAGGTAGACAGCTATCGTATTTGCAGAAATGGCTTCTATCTCTGAGGACGACTACACCAGCTTCCGAAGCGTAGCCGTCGATGACCTGCCGTTTTTCACCCCTCGACAGCGAGTGCCCGTTGGCACGGCAATCCTCAAAGAAGGCCGAACAGAAGAGGACATTACGTCGGCGTTTCGCCCTATCACAATTCGAGGGAAAACATTCCAGAACCGCATTTGGGTAGCACCTATGTGCATGTATAGCTGTAAGGATGGTATGTTGAGCGATTTCCATGTTATGCACTATGGCCAGTGGGCGATGAGAGGCAGCGCTCTCATCACCATTGAAGCAACAGCAGTCACTTCGAGAGTATGTGATCCCACCTTCATTGTTTCTTTCATAAGACCAGGGAGCTTCCCGTTAAATTCTCCCGGGTGCGCCGCTGAAGCGCTTCATCGTTCCATGTCAACAGGCTAATCAACTGACACGCAGGGGAGAAACACTCCTCAGGATTCTGGGCTGTATTCTGATAGCCAAGTTGCTCCACTGAAGAGAGTGGTTGATCTTATTCACTCTCAATCTCAGAAAGCCGCTATCCAGCTTCAACATGCTGGCCGCAAGTGCAGTGTTTGCCCCCCGTGGCTTGGTCTCAAGGTAGTTCCTGAAGAATTCGGAGGCTATTCCAAGGATGTCCAGGGTCCAACGGCGGAGCCTTGGAACGAGAACTACGCCATTCCCATCGAAATGACCGAGGAGGAAATCCTGGAAACTATCGAAGCTTATGGACAGGCTGCCAGAAGGGCTATCGAAGCCGGAGTCGATGTTATCACAATTCACGGAGCCCATGGATATCTCGTGCATTCGTTTGCATCTCCTGCTGTGAGTTTAGCATATAGCCACCGAGCTGAATCTACTTGATCCTCGGTCGTTCACCAAATACATTGCTCTGACCTACTGAATAGACCAACAAGCGAACAGATCGCTGGGGAGGTAGCTTTGAAAATCGTACCAGATTCGGCATTGAGCTCATTCGTGCCGTACGACGGAACATTTCCAAGGACACTCCTGTCTTCTGGAAGATCTCAGCTGTTGATTGGTTACCTGCTGGCGAGGGGTGGGAACTTGAGGATACACTTCGATATGTCCCGATTCTCGCTGCAGAAGGTGTTGATCTTTTTGATGTATCCAGCGGCGGTACTGATAGAAGGCAAAAGGTCCAGCTCGGCCAGCAATACCAGGTTCCCTTTGCCAAGGCTGTTAAGGATTTGAACATACCCAACGTCTTTGTTGGTGCTGTTGGCTGGATCCGAGATGGCGCTACGGTCCATGACGTATGATTTCTTTTCGCTGGTCATATTCCGAAGGCATGATGCTGACATGAGGTACAGATTTTGAGCAATGGCAAGGCAGACGTTGTGCATGTCGCGCGCGAATTCCTTCGCGACCCAAACTTTGTTCAGAAGGTTGCGCTATCTACTGGCACTGAAGTTGCTTGGGTGGATCAGTACCATCGGGCCCCTAGTAAGTGATTGATCTTTTCGCTAATTATTTACGACTGGTTGGTTGATGTTGATATTTGATGTAGTGAACGGCAAGTATGTTGAGTCCACGACTACCATCATGACGGATCTCAAGGCTTCCAACGACGTTACTCGGACCCACGAGAATCAACTGAACAACAAAATAATCTAGTAGTTATCTAGGGATATTTTCTATGGTATGGTTATAAAGGTGGATCTGTAGGGTTTATAGTCGCGATATTTCAGGTTACACAGATGGAGATTGCCAGATTGATAGATTGGCCAGATGTCAAAGACACTGGAGCTTGATATATTTGTGCGCTTAACCTGATATAATCTTTGTACATTTTCCTAGCAGTTTAACCTGATATAAAACCCTCCATGAAAATCTCTCCATCTATCGAGCCAAATGTGTATTTTCAGTCGAAACTGGAAAGATCCGAGATATATCTTATCAATCTATCATAAACATGGGCTTCCCAAGACTAAGGTGACCAAAATCGAGAGGGTTCAATCCGAGGCCCATTTATAGCAACTAGGATTTCATATAATCGAAGGCCAATAGTGGCTGCCTTGATAACAACAGGTTCAAATATTCCAATCCGGCCTCTTCCGAAGCCCAAACCTTCCCGTCCCCGTTGTCGCTACTTTGAGAGCTAGCCTTCGCCGAAACCTTTCAGGTCTCTGGCGTTACAGTCAAGAACACTACCCTTGTTGGAAAAACCAATCACTCAGCCAGCACATACAGCAAACAACCCATCCGACTGACCATCAACAGGATTTCCTACAAATTAAAGATGTCTATACTCGCCTGAGATAGGATGCGAGTCCGAGGAAACCTGAAGCCGAAAGACGACTAAGCGGCCTCCTTTTCTATTCAAATTGGCAGCGTCCTGGAATTTGAGGGCACTTTGGGGTTTGGGGGAGTCTAAGCCTTTGTTGGTGCCTTGCGCTTCGAAGGTGCCTTCGGTTTTGCAGCTGGGTGAATTGCCAATGCGCGATCCAAGGCGCCTAGGAAGCCTGCTCCAGCTAAGAAACCTGCAGCGGCCAGGAAAGCTCTCTTGGCTACCTAGTGACGGTTTCTTGGCTGGCGCAGGTTTCCTAGGCGCCTTGAATCGTGCATTAACAATTCTTGCTTGGTCCTTTTTTCGTGGCCGGCCTGGGCTTGTGTCTTCCCACTGAGCTATGTTTATTTGCTGCCGCTGGTTTGGAAGACTTGGATTTGGTACGTGCATTGGCCGTTTTATCTTTGATGCCTCCTTTGGCGGGTGCAGGCTGGGGCGCTGGTGATGGCGAATCGTACCCCGTATAAATGTGTTGACCATCACACGAGGCACACCCCAATTGTGTTTCGTGCCAGGTACATGGGAACAATAACTCATCAACGGCGTCGAGAGGGAACTTCCAATGTAATCAGGAAACAGTTAAGAGTCCAAACAGAGCGGAGCTGGGCCTACCTGGTTGTCCCACCAGCAATCAATATCACGACCGCCGTCGCCAAGGCCTTGGCAATAACCGTCTATGGGCTAACCTCCCTCGACCCGGGGCTCGATTTTATAGTAGTGAGGTTATAATATCGTTAGGGTTACTTTCTTCAATCTACTGCGTGGTTTGTGAAGATCCAACACTTACCCCGGGTGATCGCTTCGTAGGAGGGTTCGCTATCCTGTGACTCCCACTACGGGATGCGGTTGCGGCCCGATGAAAGGCGTGGTTATTGCCCTGGGGGGGCATTGTGTTTGGATGCAAGTTGTTGACGAGCTTGGGCGATCTCTGAGAGGAGAACGGCGGTGGCTATGATGGAGGTGGCGAACTTCGTTTTGAAACCCTTGATTTCGACAAATTGTAGAGACCGGAGCCGAGAGAGTTGGTAGAGCAATAACATCCGAAGTAGTCTAAATGACTGGAAGAAAACAATGTTGCTATTGTTATGTGGATAGTGAGTAAGACAGGACAAAGCACATCCTCTCGGCAACATGACCGCGCTTATATAGATCGACAGCGCAACATAGAAAGCATTTACAAACCCACAATCGAGACGGACCCCAAGTATGATCCATTCCTGCAAAATGCAACTAGAAACCAACCGTGTGCTCAGCCCCCGGCTGTTGGTATTTATTTAGGTACGCGGCTAGCTCACATCGTGCAGCGCTTACCAACAAGACAAAATCCTAGTCCTAGAGTAGCATCCGAGAAGGCAGACAAGGGATCCAACGTATCTATGGACCAACACGTTCAGAAAATAGCGTCACTCGTACGAGCAAATTTTCAACCCCCTGTCTATCGGTGGAGCCTGCTAAAACGTCCCTCAGATGATTTCCTATTGCGTGAGCCAATACAACTTGTTGGCTACAAAGGTGCATGTCTACATGTATGATCCCCCACTCGTGTGGCTTTGCATGCAGTGAGTGATCCACAACAGCTTAACTGGGTCTCATTGTTGGTACAACTTGCAGATGTTGCAGTAGTTATTATGGTTGTAGATCAAAATAGACCTTCTGCTGCCGGGCATTCCGCTTTCGAGCAGATGTGACGGGGGATTGGTGCACTTGGCTCTCCTAGCATGCTTGGGATCACATGGATAAGTTGCTTGTTATGCATGCCATTCAGTGGTTCCAAGTTTATGCGCCAATGCTTTCGAATAATGAACGAGTTGAGCACGTTGATTGCACATACTCTGTATAGCGGCGACGAGGGCCGTACTGGGCCTTCCTGATCCTTTGATGCGGAGATGATCTGGCATCTTTTTTTTGGATACACTTCTAATACAATTAAATTACAGACAATGAAAGTGTTGACGATACGACATGTCATCTCATGACTTGAAGAGCGTAGCAGAATTCCCACAACAATTATTTCAATATAACCAACTCCGTTTAATGCATGAGTCGATCTACTTATTCGTAATTATCTGAATACTTGATCTTTCTGAGACCGAGGGGACCTGCATTAGAGGGTGCTCTTCATCGTTCTTGACCAAGATTACGAGAGACTCCTTGGCTCTCACATTCAACTCCTCCAAAGTTTTGCTATCTTTCAACACACCCGATACGAGAGTTCCACTTGAAAAGACAGCCAACTCGCTCGACTTCCAGACGGGAGCTTTGCCGCCTGGATGGCGGTCAAGCCTCGTGAGGAAAAAGAATGCAATAGCCGCGGCCTGGATGGCAGCGTGCAGGCTAACCCATGGCCACCTGATCCGGTACAACGTGACGGGCCTGAACACCCTCCCTCTCACAGATGAATCGTCGACCGCTCTTTCTGTCCCTGTCGTATCTCCAGCACGAAGTGCGTTACTCATGCTCATGGCGACGTTCTCAAACAAGGTACTGAGATCGTCCGAGCGCCACAGTAGCTCTGCTGCCTCTGGAGCATGTGCGGTAGGGTCTAAGAAGCCGGTGGGTGGTGGTCGGTCTTCCACTACATTGGAGCAGTTCTTGTCAGGCCTGCAGGAAGAAAAGGTAGTCTGGGCCAGGTAGCTGATTCCGTCCACTGCCGTTTGAGACAAGCTATATCGCTGTGTATTCGAGGTATTGCTTGCCAGCTCGAGATTCGTGCGCCCATACCATGACATGATGGGGTGGTATGCTAGACTCGTACGAAAGTTATCCGGCAGCGGCGAAATCTGACCAGATGCACTGCCCGTATCTGTAGGTTGCCACGACGACTTGTCGCGCTTGTACTCATCCATGATCTTGGATGACTCTGTTAGCGTGCCGTTGAGTACCTGAAACGAGTAGTTCTTGACGCAATAGTAGAGTGCACATTCCGTTGCATGAACGTCCCACTGTGGCCACGTGAGGCCAGTTGTTGCAGATTTGTTATCGACTTTGATAATGCTCTGGGACCAGATCAAACTGTCCATGTCTTTGGTAGTAATCGTCTTGGACGCATTCGAAGTTCCCGACATAGTCAATGTCGTCAGTATGCTATTTGGAAGGTCATCCTGGGCCTGCATATACAGACCGTTGGGCAGTTCGAATCTCGTCGCATTCCAGGAACCTGGTTTAGGTGCCACTGCAATAAAATCACCAACCCATCCTATATAGCTGGTACCCCGTTCCTTTGTCATCCTTTTGAGTGAAGAATCTACGTTGGTGCATTTGCTGCAAATGGCTAGTGATGCGACATCTGAGTACTCGCATTGGCTTGTAGGGCAGTTGTAGCTTGCCTGTTGCAAGACCTGTGACCTGTCGCTGGTTAAGCCGAATAGCAGGGCTGCTTTCATCACAAGGTCAGGTGCTGACACAATTCCCAAGAGCCTTGGTACAGATTGCTCCATCGAGTAATTACCGAATCTGACTCCTTTATCGTATTGGACCGCCCGGGCGAAAGCACCACCATCTTCTGAACGCATGGTTTGGTGAAGTTGAATTAGCTGCTGTGCAAAAGGATCCATGATGATGGCGAACACGGTGATGATTGCACCCATACGGACAATCGCGCTATGCAACCCCTCAGCGTCCATCTCAGTATGCAGAATTTTAGAATGACCTTACCCTCCCTTGAACTTTGAGCTCAACAGCAGTTGGAGACTCCCAAGAGGCCCGCGACTTGCATCAGCTACCATCTCAAAGTCGTAGAGTCGTCGAGGGGGGCCTGCGAAGAGAGACCAGTTGGCTTGACTGATACAGCTCGCGACTGCTGTCAGCATCGAGGCCTTGGACCCAGTCGATAAAATGGACACGATCGTATTGAGTGTGATGAATGGACCGTCGAACACTGGCTTCCCGTTGAACGAGATGCAGACGATGATCATGGCAGCGAACTGAACGAAGCAGGCAAGCATAGAGCCAGACTCTAGTGCCCAAGGGTGCCGAAGCCATGCCCCAGCCATGTTCACTAAGACACAGACCTAGCACAAGTAAATTCTTGTCGCACAGGTAACTAGCCGATTGATGATGCTAATGGTGTCTTCAGGTTGAAGTTGATGTTAGAAAGAGATGGCCAGCGGCGCATTCTGAAGGATTCGATCCAAAACAGCTATGCCTGGGGGTAGTATTACATGCCCCCCAACATGGGAGTCCTACTCCAGGTACTCAGAGCCAGCAGAGCGTGTAGGGCAATGCAATGCTGAGAGCCAAAGTTCCTAACTGAAACAATGGGTGTTTCTCTGAAACAAGGTACCCAAACTGAAGGCATTTTTGGCCACATGCTAACTCTCATTGAAGGACAGCATCAGCTCATCAATGAAGCGCGCAAACAGTCAAGTAGTAGTCTAACCCTATTGACACAATGTCATCATCAGTTGCTTTATTTCCGTTGAGTTGAATCAACCCGGGTGTGAGCTGCTTGACGTGGGGCGGAGATCATTAGTGGGAACCTGGACTACAGGTACATCGGCTGAGAGCATTGTAGAATGAGCTATGTTATATATGAAAAAAAAACCGGTTTCTTCAGATTTCTTGTACCAGTATCGAAAATTCAATTGTTATTCACTAGTGAGCGCTACTCATATACATATGTATAATATATGAATCAACGGCCGAACCACATGAAGATAAGACACGCCGTGGTTCGTTTAGACTTATTCCGCACGTGAGGGCTCAGCAAAGGAAAGCCACAGAAGTCCCATTATTAGTGGCTGTCCGTCCACTGTCAGATGTGAGCGAACCTCTTCCATTTTCAATCAGCCCCCTCATATCACTTTTACCCACCTTCTCATCTCGGCCAACGTCCTATAGCCCTCTGCATTGTAAAAGCAACCCCTTAAAACTATAGAAGCAGGCAGGCGGGATCAGAATGGCACCAACCGTCCCTTCGCTCTCTCTGGCGGAGAACCTGGATCTGGTATTCCGTCTGCTGGTTGTTGGTGAGAACTCAACGCGTGGCCTGTGAAGTCAGCTGACACGGCTAACTCTCAGCAAAGCACCTGCGTACGGGCTCGCCAAATTTACCATTGGCATTCCCAAAGCCCTGCGCAGAGGGATCCCACTATCTCTGCTAGGCATCAGTACCGTCTGCTACACCTTCCTCGCCTGTCTCTCCCCGCGCCAAATCCAAACCGTGGCTCCCAATAGCCAGAGGGCCTACGCGTCATGGATCAAGTCAAAGGTGAAAGCGCAGCGCAAGCCCGGCGCCTCCCCTCAGCTTCGCCGCCTCAAACACGACATTGAAGAGCTCGAGGAAACCGGAGGCTCCATCATGTGGGTTGGTGACCGCGCCACCGCCTCCAAGTTCGTCCTCTTCTTCCACGGCGGCGGATATGTCATGTGTGCTTCGGATGGCCAGCTTGAGTGGTGCTGGAACGCCTATGTGTGTGGCGGGCCAGGCGAGAAGCACAACGTCGCTGTTGGAGTCATGGAGTACACCCTGTGCCCTGTTGCGACGTATCCCCAGCAGCTGCGTCAATGCTGTGCTGCCCTCAGGGCACTTTTGGAGAGAGGGATTCGACCATCCGACATCATGATCGGGGGCGACTCGGCTGGAGGGTCTCTCACTGTTCAGCTGCTGAGGCATATCGTTGATCCTCATCCTTGCGTCGAGCCACTTGGCAACTGGTTGAATGATGAACCCTTAGCAGCCGCCTTTATCGTGTCTGCACCGGTTTCCGGACGCACTGATACGGTTTCGTATCGAGAAAACACACTCGACATGCTTTCCGGACCTCTTATCAATTTTCTGACTGAGATCTTCCTGGTTCCCGAAAATGTCACGCCTCCGCTGACCATGGAAGAGATCCGAGGGTTAGCCTTTCCCCTAGAATCTGATTTATCCTGGCTGGGGCGCGTTCACAAGGCTGCTAGGGCAATGTATCTCACAGCAGGAGATGAAGAGGTTTTTAGAGACCATATTTGCGAATTTGTAGAGGCTTTGCAGGCGCGTTCCAAGTCAGTGGATGTGAGATTCGACCTTTTCTCAAAACATGTCCACGACAGCCACCTTATAGAAGGTTTCTTTGGGACCGGCCCGGCCATCACGGCCATGGCAGCTTGGGCGGAGGACATCTTCTAGATTTCTCCTCTGAATAATAACTCTTCGATAGACCCCCACTCTATCTAATTGCTCTCAGTATGAAACCACATTTGGAATGATACCAACTTCCGACCTCACCGGCTCGGAATGATTAATTACTGATAAAATAGGAGGAGTTTTTCAAATGCTTCATATATAAACAATAGTACGAAGTAATATTGTTTAGGCAGGGCGAATAATCAGCAGGCATGTTGCCAACCCAGCATATGTATATCCGTGGTAGCTAAGAATCGGAAAAGTGACGGCGGAAAAGCACTGAGATACTCCACCTAAACCAGGTAAATATATGTGCATGATAGATGTATTTTCCCACCAGTTATGGTGGGTTTCATCGCAACAAGGGAGTTGGGGAGAAGGCGATCCTACCTTAACGAGGATAAGGTTGCACGAGACCGGTTCCGCGCTACCGCTTAGATGACCTCAATTGCACTCCCACCTCCCCGCAACTTCTGGGCCAGCGGTTTTCCGAGAGGAGTGATAATGTCGGGGTATTCATGAAAGCAGTTAGCTGAGTAACCATAGGCTAAATAAAGTTACCGAATGTGGGGGTTCCGTCCGGATGTATTCAGTATTAGAGGCAACAGGCTGAGGCAAGAATCGTATATAAGATCCGTTGGTTTTGCTCGTCATGTCCATGAATTTCGATTGACGACATCAAAAATTCTAGCAATATATCTTCCTTTCCAGCTCTCCCCTGACAACGTGTCTCCAGTTTACCATGAAGCAACTACTCTTTGGCGCTCTGTGGCTTTCAACCGCAGCGTATGCTTCAAATCTCGCGTTACCAAATGGCTGGTTCAGCATATCACCGGATGAGAAGATTGTCCCGGGCCAGTTTCAGGGTGAACCACGGTACTTGACCTGGATGGCTGACTCTCAGATCAAGCATGGTGTGGAGCCAACTCTTGCCTATACGGTTTCCTCATTTTACTCGGGCGTTCTTCGAGCCTACGAAAGGACTGGGGCTCAAAAGTATCTAGATTATGTCAAGAAGGGTGCCGATATTCTCCTCTATCCTGAATGGGATGGCACGATTCTGTTCTACAACAACAGCAACTCCATTGACGATATCCGGATTGGGCACACCTTTCTTGACATGTATAATGTTACAGGCGATGAGATCTACAAGACTGCCGCCCAGACCTTGCGCAAGCAGATTGACCGAACTGGCCGAACCCCTGATGGAGGTTTCTATCACCGCTATCCTACGTATATTGACCAGATGTGGTTGGACGGTATCTACATGCTAGATGTTTACTACGCCCGATGGACTTATGAGTTTGAGCCCACCAACAACACTGCTTGGGATGACATTGCCCTCCAATTCCACCTCATCGACTCCGGGACCCGGTCAGCAAATCGCACAAAAGGTCTCCCTCTTCATGGATTTGATGTCAGCAAGACCCAAGTCTGGGCGGATCCTGTCACCGGCGCATCCCCGCATGTTTGGGGGAGAGCCGTTGGATGGTATATCTGCGCCCTTGTTGATACCTTAGACTACTTCCCAGAAGCACATCAAGGACGAGAGCAGCTGCTAGGATACCTACAAACGTTAGCGGACGCCATCGTTGCTGCCCAGGACAAGAGGACGAAGGGCTGGTGGCTTGTCATGGACCCTGGGCTGGAAGGCATTTCCGGCAACTACATCGAGAGTTCTGCAAGCTCCATGTTTGTCTACGGCTTGTTCAAGGCGCTCCGATTGGGCTACATCAAGGGAGATAAATTCAAGAAGGCGGCACTCGATGGCTACAATCTTATGACGGACACTTTTGCGACATCCCGAAAGAATGATGGGGCCTTGCAATATGAATGGACAGTGCAGACCGGAAGTCTGAGTTCCAACGGCACGTTTGAGGTGAGTTCCAATCTTTGACCCATTCTATTATATTTTTCAGATCAGCTAATACGTTGGCCCCAGTACTACGCGAGCCAACCCCTATTTGAAAATGACCTCAAGGGCGTGGCCCCTTTCCTATTTGCCAGCTACGAGTATGAGCTTCTTCGCGGCCATTAAAATTATCACAAAATGGTCCGCCATTGGACGCAGCACTGCACTTGGCTCTAGGCACTCAGCTAGTCTCTAACAGGATCTTGCAAAATAAGTAGCTTTGATCGCTCAAGATACAGTAAAATCAACCTATTTTACCAAAGCTTCATGCTCTTTGTCGGTCGTTTTAGGTCAATGTAGTTAGGTTTTCTCAAATTCAGAGACATCTATAAAGACGTAGGGAAACAAAAGCCAATAGATTGAATATGTATTTCGAAGACAGTGCTCATGATACTTTCCCCTAAGGGGGTTCCACACATCTAATAGTTAAGATCTAAGAAGAAAACCAAGAAAAAACAGACACTTAAAGAAGTTCCTAGCCATCAGGCATCTAACAGCAAGACGTGCTAAGGATCTCCACAACCTTGGCAGAAGGAATATGGGCCTTGACGGGCACCGACTCAGGAGTAAGCTTTGCGTCCTTCATAATCCTCCTCTCAGCCATCGTGACCGCAATGTCGAATGCGTTCTGTGTGCTTGCCACGCCGGCAAGATTCTTCCCAACAATGTCAAAAGCTGTACCATGAGCAGGTGTGGCGACAGGGATAGGAAGTCCACCCTGTACAGTCACACCGCCATCGAAGGAGAGAAGTTTCATGGCGATCTGGCCCTGGTCGTGGTACATGGTGACGATACCATCAAAATGCTCTCGCTTGAGGAAGATAGTGTCGCAAGGGTAGGGGCCAAGGACGTCGATGCCCTTCTCCTGGGCTGCTTGAACAGCAGGGCGGATGTGGTCAATTTCTTGGCGTCCAAACGCGCCGTTCTCTCCGTTGTGTGGGTTCAAGGCACACACTCCGAGGCGGGGGTTCTCAATGCCAGACTCCCATCTAAAGTAAAATATCAGTACACCATTATGCTTCAGATACCTGTCAGACATATCCAGCTAGGCTTACCTGAGTCTATGTAGGAGTTCGATAGCCCTCAGTGTGCTCTCCTTGGTGATCCGTCCGGCCACCTCTTCAACACCGATGTGGCTTGTGACTCGGCCGGTCCAGAGCGGGCCAGCGATGTTGATTTCACTGGTGGTGCCCTTGAAATTCAGTTGGTTGGCAAACCAGCGCAGCTCATCCTCCTCAGTCATACCAGCAAGCTTCAACGAACTCTTGTTGAGTGGGGCGAAGACAATGCCATCAATGACGCCGTCTTTGACCATGGCCAGTGCCCTCTTGAGCTGGTGCATCGCACGGGCCCCGCTGTCCTTGGAGACTTCGCTCCTGACTGTCTTGTACTGGGAGGCCGTGTTGTCGTTCAGTAGTTGGAATCCATGGGGCCCAGCGGGACCGGAGGAGACGGCGAGGTGCTCGAGACCAGCGTCAGCCATGGCTTGACGGAACTCTCCCTCGTCTGCCAGAACCACAACATCGGCCTTCTTGAAATTGGCCGCGTTGTTAAGAAGCTTGGCAACCAGCTCGCCACCGATGCCCGAAGGATCACCCAAGGTGACCGCAATACGGGGCCTGCGAAGGCGCGTTTGGTGAGAGTCGATTGCGGCAACCATGTTGAAAGATACGGTGTGAGAAGGGGTCTGATGAGTGAGTGTTGGCTTTGCGTGAATAGCTTAGGATGACTTTGTCTGAATCAGGGTGTCTTTATTGTGTCTCGGGGAAACGAGGGATTGGCTGAAATGACAAATAGAAAATGCGTATTTTATGATTTGATGGAAAAGCAGTCAGAATATTACTCGCAGCCCTCCCGAGAGTTGTAAATTATAGAGGTCGGGGAGAATCGTTGGGCCGCATCGCAACACGGCGGTCCCGCCGACTGCATTGTATGAGTCGTGGATCGGCGGGTTTGCGATGCTGCCAAGGATTCACCGCGTGAACACTAATTAACTGGATCGGCCTGGGTCACGAGGCACATGACTTGCTCCTCATGCTGGAATTCCCCCAAGAATCACGGCACTTGCACCGACTTTGGATCCACGGCCCTGGCACCGACCTCAGTTGCTCCCGATGCCCACCCACTCCTCCGGATTCTCTCCCCATGGGGTTCTCCGCGGTGAACAATTACCGAGCTTGAGAGCAGGGACGTTGAACATTTTGTATATATGCTGATCCTTCCGCATGGGAGTCATGTCTCAGCCATTGGCCTGCCACCCATTCTAATCCCCTCAATCCTACATTCTCACGCTTGGAACACGTCTCTCGCGCCTCATAGCAGTCATCATGGCTCCTTCTGACGACAAGAATGCGGACCAACGCCTTGAGTATGTCCCGACCAACGCTTCCGCTAGGTCGACCTCAAAGGATGACATGAAGGCCGCCACTGAGATGATCGAGGCTCAGGAGGCTGCCACTCGATGGGTAGATGGCACGCCCGAGGAGAAGAAACTCGTGCGCAAACTTGATTGGCGTATTCTCCCTTGTACTTGGGTTCTCTATCTTCTCGGTTACCTTGACCGAGCCAATATCGGGTATGTTTCATGTGCAATAATGCATGCTTGTCTGATACAAGTCGCTGACTGTGAACGTGCAGTAATGCCAAAACAGGTGGCATGGAAGATGACTTCAAATTGACATCCAGCCAATACTCCATCATCGTTCTTGCATTCTTCATCTCTTATCTCGTGTTTGAAGTGCCGGCCAACATGATCCTCACCCGTGTGCGACCCAGTGTGTTTCTCCCGGGACTCGGTCTAATCTGGGGGACATTCGCCGCGCTCATGGGTGCGACCAACAACTGGAGCCAACTGGCCGGCATGCGCTTCCTTCTTGGATTCGCTGAAGTACGTTTCATCTTGATATCTAGACTGTTGGACTTGGCTTACCCTTTCTTCAGGCCGGCTTCGCTCCTGGCTGCGCCTTCTTCCTGTCGTCCTGGTATCGAAAGTACGAGCTTGCAACAAGATACGCCTTTCTCTACACCTCAGTTCCCATTGCTGGCGCCATATCTGGCCTTCTCGCTGGTGTCATCACCGAGCATATGAACG